CCCTAGCGTGACATATATTACACCTTCGTGCATAACATAACATGTACCCTAGCGTGACATATATTACACCTTCGTACACAACATAACATGTACCAAAGCGTGACATATATTACACCTTCGTGCACAACATGACATGTACCCTAGCGTGACATATATTACACCTTCATACATAACATTACATGTACCCTAGCGTGACATATATTACACCTGCATGCATAACATAACATGTACCCTAGCGTGACATATATCACACCCTCATATATAACATTACATGTACCCTAACGTGACATATATTACACCTTCGTGCATAACATAACCTTACCCTAGCGTGACATATATTACACCTTCGTGCATAACATAACATTACATGTACGTGACATATATTACACCTTCGTGCACAACATAACATGTACCCTAGCGTGACATATATTACACCTTCGTGCACAACATGACATGTACCCTAGCTTGACATATATTACACCTGCATGCATTACATAACATGTACCCTAGCGTGACATATATTACACCTTCATACATAACATTACATGTACCCTAACGTGACATATATTACACCTTCATACATAACATTACATGTACCCTAACGTGACATATATTACACCCTCATACATAACATTACATGTACCCTAGCGTGACATATATTACACCTGCATGCATAACATAACATGTACCCTAGCGTGACATATATTACACCTTCATACATAACATTACATGTACCCTAGCGTGACATATATTACACCTTCGTGCATAACATAACATGTACCCTAGCGTGACATATATTACACCTTCGTGCACAACATAACATGTACCCTAGCGTGACATATATTACACCTTCGTGCACAACATGACATGTACCCTAGCGTGACATACATTACACCTTCATACATACCATTACATGTACCAAAGCGTGACATATATTACACCTGCATGCATAACATAACATGTACCCTAGCGAGACATATATTACACCTTCATACATAACATCATGTACCCTAGCGTGACATATATTACACCTTCATACATAACATTACATGTACCCTAACGTGACATATAGTACACCCTCATACATAACATTACATGTACCCTAGCGTGACATATATTACACCTGCATGCATAACATAACATGTACCCTAGCGTGACATATATTACACCCTCATACATAACATTACATGTACCCTAGCGTGACATATATTACACCTTCGTGCATAACATAACATGTACCCTAGCGTGACATATATTACACCTTCGTACACAACATAACATGTACCAAAGCGTGACATATATTACACCTTCGTGCATAACATTACATGTACCCTAGCGTGACATATATTACACCTGCATGCATAACATAACATGTACCCTAGCGTGACATATATCACACCCTCATATATAACATTACATGTACCCTAACGTGACATATATTACACCTTCGTGCATAACATTACATGTACCCTAACGTGACATATATTACACCTTCGTGCATAACATAACCTTACCCTAGCGTGACATATATTACACCTTCGTGCATAACATAACATTACATGTACGTGACATATATTACACCTTCGTGCACAACATAACATGTACCCTAGCGTGACATATATTACACCTTCGTGCACAACATGACATGTACCCTAGCTTGACATATATTACACCTGCATGCATTACATAACATGTACCCTAGCGTGACATATATTACACCTTCATACATAACATTACATGTACCCTAACGTGACATATATTACACCTGCATGCATAACATAACATGTACCCTAGCGTGACATATATAACACCTTCGTGCACAACATAACATGTACCCTAGCGTCGCATATGGTTCGCATTCTTTCATTCATACTTCACACAAGCATACATCACTTTTATATTACTTGAAGATTTAGTTTGATAATGACATATTTTGCCTTAAATTAGCGCTTACTGAATTGTGTACCTTTCGTAAATGATAACACTTGGAATGCATTGTACTATACGTTAACATACAGTAACACGACTAGTAACCATGAACTATCTAATATTTACAACATGACAAAACAGCCAAAGTATCGAAAGCATAAACACAACATCCTAAAACCCCTAGGAATACGTTCAAACACCAAAAACCTGTCCACATGTGAATAACAAAAACTCCAACGCCTCAAATACTGTTATGACCATCTGACAGTAACCTCAAATGTTAAAATGTGACATAAACTGTACTGAAGCTAAACTCTTTAAACTGAAGACAATAAACTACTAAGTTGAAGACTAAAGTTCAGTAAAGGGCGTGCTTGGGCAAACTTTTGTGTGACAGTGTACTAGATGTGGTTGTGTCAAAATACTCACGCGGTGAGCTGAAATAGAGAATTAGGAAAGATGAAGTGTGGAGTATATAATGTTCAAAACATACTTGACTGAATATTTAATTCAGTAAAAGCTAAAGCTGTCACAGGTCCCTCCCTTGAAAAATGAGGTCCATGTCATTCCGATTCTTAATCAACAAGGGAAAGCAATGCCTTGGAGACGCTGGTGCTGATGTGTCCAAAAATGCCAGTCTCTGCCAGATGTTGCAGGCGTCAACTCTTCTGCTGCCAGTCTGGATCGGAAGTCTGGCACATAACATAATCTCCCGAGGTCTGCCAGGAAAGCTTCCTTGTTAGTCTACCAGTTCTTCTAGGTTCATGTAAGAATTAGCATCACGAGATGCAGGTGGAGGCACCTCCAGAAGCATCACCTGCTCTCCAAAGGGACTGTAGATCGTCACCTGTTGTCTCTGAAGTAGCCAGATTATCTTCACAGCGTCTTCACTGAAGATGGTAACATCCTCAGTAACTGCTGGTTATCCTCTTCTGCAGTCTTATTCACTGTCCTGCTTGGTCTTGGAGTTGGTTTCTTGACTGCTGGTAGGCTGTTGTTATCCCTGATCGCTGGTACTGATCCAGTGGGCAGGACATTGTTTCTATGCAGCGTCCTCTTCCTCCCCTCACCATACTCTCCCTGCACTACAAACACAGGGATATCCTGGTTTGGTTGCAAGAGAACAACATAAGGCCCTCCCTCCCAGCGATCTGCAAACTTGGGCTTACTATCAAAGGCTAAGACTTTCACCAGGCCTTGATCACCTCTCTGTACAGTGGCTCTTCTAATTTTCAAGTCATAGCTGGCTTTGTGCTTAACTTGGGCTGTCTTTTGATGCATTGAATGTCAGGTCATAGGCTTCTTGCAGCTTCTTAGTCAGTGATTCTGAATAAGCTGTAAGGGACTGATGGTACTTGTTGGAATTCCCTCTCTCGTCCTGGTACCTTGATGGCATTCCTGGATGACGTGGCCAATACTGTTGAGGTGGAGGCTGCAGATCGGTGCTGGTTCTTCGAGTCCTGGGTTTCTGTTCACCCAAGGAATAGAGGAAACAGGCAGTGGGTGGTTCTGTTGCTTCTTCAGTTCTGCAACTTTACCAGTCAGGTGTCTAAACATCCCCCTGATAGCCTTCATCCAGTGTCATGTATGTTCACAGTGGTCATACCTGGAGTTTACATCTTCTTCTTGGCCACAGGTCCTTTCTATTGCAAATCCATGTCACTCTCCGCAGGGCTCTGAGCTGTCTGATCCCTGGTCTCTGGCTTCGACCCTGACCATAACTATGTTCGGAGCATCTCCTTCCTGGTTGCCTGGGGAACTGGTCCTTGTGCCTCTGCTTGAATGAGTAAATATTCTAACCTGCATGTCCATGCATCAACTTCTTCTGTGGTCTACCGTCGCTGCCTTACCACCACGCAGGGATTGATTGACTATGTTAGCAACAGCATGTGGTGAAAGAGACCTGTTTCAACATGATATGTCAAAACATCAAAAGATGTGTCGCCCTTCTTGTCACCTGAAAAAGATGGAACTTTTTGTGCCTGTGGTAACGTAACAGTGCTTGAGTACCTGAAATGGAAAAGTTATTTGAGTCTGGCGGAGTGCCTGGGTTAGAAGGCAAGATGAACGAACCATCCTCAGCCTTGACCTTGGCCTGGGTGTATGCTCGCATCCATTGTACCAGGTCCTTTGGGTTATCAACAGAAGGCCAGGTACCAAGAGTCTGGAGGAGGAAATACGTTTCTCGAACTCTTCAGGCAGCGGTTTACTCATGATGCTGAAACATGAACAAGTAATCAGAAATATTAATGGGGACAACAACATAAATGTTGTGCCAACCACCACAATCAGGATGCCCTGATAGAAGCAAGTGATAATATGTACTTGTATGTTAAGGATACTCTGAACAACAAGCAAATTATGCAAAGAAGTGTGTCCTCGTCACATTACGACCAACGAACTTAAATATAACAGTGAAACCTAACTAAAAGTGGCCTGAAAAGCTAAACCGTGAAGATAATGCCCTTTGTATTACTTCACACAGTTGTGCAAAAAATCTGTGCACATGTGCATATGCAGTGTGTATAAAAAATAAAGCTCAGTACAGTCAGAATATTCAGTACTTTTAAGTGCCGTGATATCACGTGACAAGGTTTACAGGTACAACACACTACGGGTACATGTATAATCAGGTTACAAAACTCCATAGACTATGCACAAAATAAACAGTCCGGAAATGCCTCCGTACTGTCAAATTGTAATAACTGTAATATCCCATCAAATATGTCACTAAATTTCATCACACACACACACACACACACACACACACACACACACACACACACACACACACACACACACACACACACACACACACACACACACACACACACACATACACACACACACAAAACATACATACATACATACAGAAAAATTGAGCACATATTTATAGAAACACATTTCCTGAGTGAAACAGAAGGATGTATATGTCGTAACGCTTGGACGAACACGACTACACAACGCTCCCCTTTGAATGAGTGGCGCAACACATGATTGTTATTTATTCGGGTCAAGGAAACACATTTCACTACTTGCAGCCGTGAATTATAGTGTCATACCTTCCTATTGGTTGATAGAGGGACAGGTAGTTCACGTTGTGTAGCTGAGCCTTACAATAAAGGGCGACACGCTGGCTTCATGCCGCAGCAGTAGAAAGTAGACCAGGTTGTATGCGTTAAGGTCACGTTTGTGTTGATCGCGTCATGTGAACATACATTGTATAAGCCTCCGAGCATTGTCGCACCTGTAGTATGCCGAGGCACGCAGTGCCACCCTAAACTAGTGTCCCATACTGATATCCATGTACCTGGTATCCACTGTCATAGGTAAAATACGAGTGGGGTGTGTTGAGACTTCAGTTTTAATGTTTGCACGGACAGCTCAGAAACGGGATATTCATGAGAGCGGCATTCCTACAACTTGGATCTACCGGGTTGTTTCTGATACGAATCTCTGAACAGGGTTTCAGTCAGGTAAGTGTATGGCGGAATACGTCAAATTGGACTTTAACACGAATTAACACAACCTCAAACCTTTGTCTTGTGCTATTCCTAATCCTATGCCCTGCCGCATAATTACTCTTCGCGAGTACCCAAGGCGGAATACCTTCCAGCATTCTAATGCTTGTCGTAAGAGGCGACTGATTTGGTGTGCAGGCTCGGTGACTTGGCTGCTTGTATGTCATTGTACCGTGACGGCGTGGAGGCTGCTTATAATAGCATCCAGTTACATGTGGCTGGCACAGAATTCTAACGGACAGCCGTTATGTAGAGCAGAACAGAAATTATTTGGTAATATAGACACATTCAATTTATACTAGTTTTGGAATTTCTAAACATAAACATTTTTTCAAGATAAAGAGCTTACTCTAATAAGATGTCGTCATTTGACAGATATTGTGCAGGTTGTAATAAGGATTTGTAGGTACAATATAATTCTAGCCATGGTGAATTTGAGATACAGTCGGACCATTCTTGCACATACAAATATCTTGTATAAATGTATAAATAAAAGAATTACTGTCTCCGACATCCTACATCAACCATACATAACAATTACCATAACAATGTATATTTTTAAACCCAATTTTTACAACGTAATTCATCATAATACACAACATGAAATAATAGCGCTCTGCATATTTGCCTGCAGGCATTCTCAATAGCTTAATCCAATACTTAATTACTCTCTCAACACCATGTTCATACTTACTCGTTCTTCCCAGTTTACCTACTGCAGCAATATTTAAAGATCTGTATCCTATTTTCAAAGTATATTTACAATATTTCGTATGTATAATTTCGATACTTTTTCTTCCTTCTTTACGCCATATCTCCGCACCAGAGATGTACAATGTATATGAGAATATGTACAATTTTACAATCTACTATTTACAACGTTTACAGCTTGATCTTTGAACATCATCCTTTAAACAGGTACTAAGCCCTTTTTTGTCTATTTAGTTAAAGTAAAACATATTTGAGTAAATATATTTCTATATGAAATTAAAATATCATACTATTAGTAGTGAGTGAGTGAGTGAGTGAGTGAGTTGGGTTTAACGCCGCTTTTAACATGATACCAGTTATATCACGGCGTGTCAGCTTAATGTGGGAGTAAAGCCCGAAGTGATGCAGGTCTCAGACGTTTACCACTTCGGTGAAACCCACGAGCAAGGGTATGGTGCTGACAAACCTAGAAACATAATTGGGGTGAACCGGGATTCGAACCCATAATCATAGGTTTCTGGCGCGCCAAAGGGACGCAACTCTGCACAGCGGATCGCGGCGCCTTAGACGACTGGGCCAGCTGTGCCCCCTACTATTAATAGAATGACATCACTTCAATCTGTTCACCATAAGTAAACCTTTGTTCATGTTTTGATGTAGGTCCTTTACTGTAATTAATGTTTAGTATCATATCGCCGCCATATATAGCTGGAAGGCGTCTTCTGTTATACCCTACAGCGCTCATCGTATCCTACTGGCGTAGATCAATGCTCGTGATGTCAGGCTTGATTATTTGGGAGCGGGTTAAAACGGCCTCATATCAGAATGCCTCAAAAGATAACGTCAAAACGACCACAACCCATAGTTAAAACGGCCACACAAAAAAGTCATAACGGCCACAACAAAAAAGTCATAACGGCCACATAGAAGACAAACACAAGTATTGTGTAACATTAATTGTATTATATACATTGTATAACAGTTCGTAACACCATATGCACACAGATCTTAATTCAGCACTGACTCAGCACTACACACCACATATGACACATCCCTATCACATATTAAACCCCTGGTGCATAGTTTGGAGCACATATGTTAAACAGCTCAGATGGTGTTATGTCGCTCCATTGTACAATCTCCAGGCCACGAAGATTTCTTCTTGTTGGTTCGTAGTATTCTTTTTTTCACAACAGATTGATACACTGGTAAGTACAGAATATTCATTTATTATTAATAACATCTGACATGTATACTCTGTACACATCCTGCTCCCATTGAATATTCATTTTTTATTATCATGGTCATTTTTTGTTATGGCCGTTATGACGTTTTTTGTGGTAATTTTGACTATGGGTTTGTGGACAATTTGACTTTTTTGAGGCCGTTTGACTACAACCCGATTTTTACCTCCGCCCTATAGTGTGAATATTGCTGGGCACACTTTACAGTGTTATCAAATCAACTTCCAGGTCTAGTGGTTACAGCTGCCGAACCCTCACCTATTTACTAATGCAATGTACAATGTAGTTAGAACAAGAGTAGTTAGATGTTATAAGTTATATTCACGCACATTTTCACAGTTATTGTCACGGCCGCTGAATACCGGCGATCAGTTGACGGACAGCAATTGATACTAGTATTTACAAGCATAACCTGATGTAAGTAAATAGATTGATAGTAGGATAGTTCGTATTTGGTACCTTGAGACGTCTGTATGTGACCAACATACTTGCATAATTTATCATATTCCCAACAAATATTCCCATATTCCCATATTCTACAACTGTAGAAACAAGTTATGTATTTACACTATTGTAATATACCTAAAGGCAAAGTAACTGTGGTCATCTACATTTATTCGAAATTAATAGTTAATAATGATTATGATCAAATAATAATAACAATAAACGTGACCGTAATTGTTTTGCTTAGCAAAGAGGAAGGTTATCATCCTGGACCTCCTCAGCAGAGATCCCAAGCACCCCTTATTCACCTCCTTTATATGGATGACCTTGAACTTATTGCCTATGGAATCCACACTAAAAAAACAGATTCTCATTGTCGAGTCCTTTTCTAAGGATATCGGCATGTCCTTCACCTGAAACATGGCAAGGTGGAACAGGGAGGATCAGTCCATTTACTTGGGGGAAGAGCTACTGACTCGTAACTCGTGGAAGGCCAGGCCGATACATACTTAGGGATGTGGGTTAGGGACACACTCCAGAATGCCCATGTCAAGGAAAAACTTCGGATACAGTACAAATGTAGACTTGAGAAAATCTGGAGTTCAGAGCTAAACGATCACAATAAAGCCACAAATACTTATGCTGTACCCGTCCTGTCATATTATTTTGGTGTTGTTAATTGGACGAATTCAGGGTATTGACACCCTCACACGAAGAATCATGTCAGACAATATACCCCACCACCCTCGCTCTTCCCTCAATCGGTTATATTAACCAATCATAATGGGCTGGTGTGGTTTGATTAACGTGGTACTTCATGATAGAATTGTATTGTGCACTTTTGCATACATTCATTTGTTTAATGATCATCTGGTGAAGAATGTCAAGACTCATGATGAAAATATGGCGTTCCACAGTTTTCTTAAACGAACCAAGGATGTGGGACATAATCTCAGTATCAATGATGATTTTGTTGATGGTTCTGTACTGCTGGACTATCTAAACGACCACTGCATCGAGTTTATGTGCAGTGTGTTGCGCGGATCAGCAACTGTGCAGAATCCGTCGTATGGATGAATGCGGCTGGCCTGAAAAGTGAAACAGAAGGCTTTCTGTTTGCTGTTCAGGACGAGTCACTTCCCACTCGAAACCATCAATGTGTGATTTTGCATCAAAATGTAAATATGAAATGTAGATTATGTAATGAATTTAATGAGACTTTCCAGCTCATTGTCGGTGAATGCGCAGCTTTGGCACAAACACAGTATCTTAAGCGACATGATGGACATATTATTACCATGCTTGTGGTTTTGACACAGAGGTCCATCCAAGGTAAGACCCGGACTATGCAGAGGGCGTCATTGAAAATGATAAATACAAAATTCTTTGGAATAGGCCCGTATACAGCCTCAGACCTAGCCAGGCCAAAAAAACAGATCTTGTCTTTTTTTATAAATCCAAGGAAATCATTTATATTATTGAATTTTCTGTCCCTTTTGACACCAATATGATTGACAAGCTTCATCAAAAACATGGCAAATGTGCAGACTCGCTTTCGAACTGTCAAGCTTGCATCCCAAGTACCAAGTTGTCCAACTCCCAATTCTCGGTGCCTTCGGTTTGGTACCTCCCCAATATGTTGACTGACATAGGAAGTAGGGCTGCAACGATACAGGAAGGTCACGATACTATACGTATCTCGATATTCTGGTCACGATACGATACGTATCTCGATACGCAATGTACAAAAACTTAAAGCATGTCAAGATTGAACCTTTCATGATTTTGGAACAGTCAAAATAGTTTATAATAACAAGACTACTGAAGTTGTAAAGCTTCAAAGTGGAACATTCTCTAACTTTCCTTCAAAACAATTCAAAGTTCAAACACCAGAAAATAATTAATGTACTTCACTAGTGATAAAACTTCAAAGAATGTTTATGCAATGGTCGAGATAATGTATCGGAAATTATTGTTTTATCAGGAATAATATATTCCAATATCGTGTTACTTCAGTTGCAGCTTTCACTATATATGTATTTAAAATTATAAAAAACACAAGCGTAGCATTTTGGTACTGGTGATTGCTGTTGCAGGATATTTTTACGTATGGAACAATTTGACCAGTCACCGTAGGGACTTCCCGCGCGGCGACAGGTATTTCGATTGCGAAAATGTTATGTTGACACATATTAGCCAAATTGCCACAAATATGACTTTTAACGAGTCAAAGTATGGCATTTTAATATATGTATCCATTCTTTAGCAACAAGAGTTCGTTTCAATGCGTCAAAAGCGGTAATCTGACCGTGGTTGCTGTATCTCTTCACGCACGATTTCACCTGACTTAATGAAAACAATATTAAATGAAATTTTGAATAAAATTAATAAAATATATTACAAACACATGTCCAAATATACAATGAACACGTTTTAATAACAAGATAGTATAATGATGGTATTGAATTGCGTACCTCAGTTCGGTTTTGCTGACTGGTATTTCCGGTGTTATGTGCTTGCGGTGATCAGCTGATAATGTTTATTGAAATGGGGAAAAACATCTGTCAGTGTAAAACCTGAGCTTATCAAAAATGTAAGTACGTTTTGGGGAGCCATGCGTTACCGCGCGCTTTAACCAAGTTAGCGGTTTATTGAAAGGCACAAAAGCGAGGAAACGCTGTACTTGAGATCTGCGTTCCGTATCGTGGCGTATCGATAAATGGGCCCACGTTTATCGTATATCGTATCGTGGGTCAAGTATCGCGATGCATCGGAATATCGGTGTATCGTTTCACCCTTAACAGGAAGAGTACCCGGGTTTGTTGCCAGGAATACAGCCCTTCTGACAATCTGGGTAATGCAGAAGGCTGCAGTGTTAGGGTGTCTTCTAATTCTCCAAAATGTTTCTCCCACATTCTCCTGAGAAAAGTACGCTGTCTGGGCTGCGTGTCAAGATTACCCAAACCTTCTTTGCTGCATTTTTAAATAATAATAATTCCCCAGTTTTCTTAAACGAGCCAAGGATGTGGGACATGATCCCTGGAGGGTGTCTGAGAGGAGCTTGAAGGTGGACAGTCACATTGCCATCCCATCCTACTGGGTATTCATTCACTGCTGGGTAAACTGAGGCATATTTTGATCAAAGCCACTACATGATTGCCCTATGTGCTTCAGTGTTAGACAGGGCCGAAGGCCTAGAAATTCTCAGGGGCTGCTGGGCGTGGTCAGCCACCCATCTCCTCTCCGCGACCAACGTTGCTTAAACTTCACCTGATTAATGACCTGTGATCTGTGCACTGGGCGACGTGCCACCAGATGGCCTGTATGGCTTCACGGAATGCTCAGTCTCCGACCTGTGTACACAACAGACACTTGTAGCATACTGTCATGATGGTGAGGTGAGGTGACGTTGGGTTTAACGTCGCGTTCAAGATTATTGCACTTATAACGCGACGTCCATGCACGTGTGTGTGTGCGTGTGTGGCTGCTTGTACTAGTCCGGACTGATGCCGATTTACAGTGCTAGCTCACTGAGATACCATGCAGCAGTTTAACATGAATACCCCACTCAGACACAGTATACTGACTCAGAGCCGACCAGTCCTTGTTTTAGCCCCTTAATGCCGAGCGCCAGACAGGGTAACAACAAGTACCATCTTTTAACGTCTTTTGGTATGACGCGGCCGGGGATCGAACCCCGACCCTTCCACTCCCCGGGCGGACGCTCTACCACTAGACCACGGAGGCGGTCCTGTCATGATAGCCCTTAGTATGGGGGAAAATAGAAAGTCACTACATAAACAAATACAATGAGTCAGGAGGATTAATGTAGCACAGATAGTCATCTTTCTCAAACGTAATTGATATTACAAAATGTTACTCAGACACATCTAGATCTATCTCAAAAGTCAGGGCGGCGGTAGGCTTGTTTAATGTTTCATAAACACGGTGATGAGGAAGGAAACTTTTTTTTAATTTCGCACCAAGAATACCAAGAAGCACAGCTGGCCACACACTAAACTCGGCACTTTAATACAATGTCAGTTGTCAATAGAATAATAGAATATGTTTCATATTAACAATACAAATGACTGACGCGCCAATGCTGGTTGTAAGTAAATTTATTGCACTCTGAGCATAGTTGACGCAACACAAAGACGTTAAGACTTATTCTGACAAGCTATACTGTAAAACGGAATTGGAGCACATGTGACTTACAAAAGCATATTTTCAATATTACAATTATACAGAAACCGGACATAACTGTATCTCAAATAATTTAAGGGGTATTTTAAATACAAACAGATATACTATAGCTTAAGGGCATATTGTATTTTACAATTTGTTTATTTGCGAGAAATGAGTATTGTTTAATAAACTGAGAAGATGAGAACAAGCATGGTCATATTTTCAATTTATGATTACAGTCAGTCGGCGGACTTCAGAATACGAGTGATTGCTGACGTTCGGAAATAAAGATGGCAACCACTGACGGATTCAACGCCACTGGAAGCGCGTTTGCGAACGCCGGAGTGGGCACGATTGACCTCGTCGTCATTATTATTTATTTGTTCGTCTGTCTTGCAGTGGGTATATGGGTAGGTACTGGCATTGTTTTATAACACGTAGTTTCCTTTTCCCCATCAAGTGACCTGCTGAACATCCGTGTCAGAAGTGGTCTTCAGCAACCCATGCTTGTCGTAGGAGGCGACTAACGGAATCTGGTGGTCAAGTTTGCTGACTTGGTCGATGCAGCCCTCGTATCCCAAATGAATGGATCGATTCTCAAAATGTCAATGACCCGTGAAGATCCGGGTTAGAATTGACCTTCAGACACCCATGCTTGCCGTAAAATGCGACTATGTTTGTCATGAGAGGCGACTAACGGGATCGGATGGTCAGCCTCGCTTGCTTGGTTGATGCATGTGGTCCAGACTTGATTATTTACAGACCGCCGCATATAGCTGGATATCAATCAATCAATCAATCAGTCATGATGTCAATCACTTGATGGTCTGGTCCAGACGCGATTATTTACAGAATATAGGGAACTGGTGGCCCAGTCATCTACGACGCGGCAATTCGCTGTGCAGTCGTAGGCGTGCTGGAAACCTATGATCGTGGGTTCGAGTACCGTTTTGCCCTAATAATGTTTGGTAATCTCCAAACCCGTGCTCGTAGGTTTCACCGAAATGGTGAACGCCGATGGCCTGCATCTCTTCGTGCTTCGCTCCGACACCAATCTACCACGACGTGAAAACCCGCATGCTTGTCCCCCAGGGTGGATTCTGGATCAGAATAAATTCCCAGTTCTTATACTTGGACTGCAAGTCAAAATAGGTCTTAAGTATCGCATGGTTTTCTCCCTGTGGGAATGCTGGGTTAGCATAGGTCCCCAGTACAGTCTACCAGTTGGGACTCAATAGGGCGGAATAGGGCTTCAGCTGCCCATGTTTGTCTCCTGTCCTGGTGAGGTTGTGGGTCAGAATAGGTCATCAGTATCCCATCCCTGTCTCCCTGTTGGGATTCTTGGTCGAAAGAGGTCCCAAGTACTGTGTGATTGTCTGCAAGTGGAGATTCCTGTACGAAAATGCCCTCAATATCGCATGTTTGTCTCCCTGTTGGGATTCCGGGTCAGGACATGTCCCCTGTACCGCATGTTTGTCTCCCTGTTGGGATTCCGGGTCAGGACATGTCCCCAGTACCGCATGATTGTCTACTTATTGGGATTCCGGGTCAGGACATGTCCCCAGTACCGCATGTTTGTCTACTTGTTGGGATTCCGGGTCAGGACATGTCCCCAGTACCGCATGATTGTCTACTTATTGGGATTCCGGGTCAGGACATGTCCCCAGTACCGCATGATTGTCTACTTGTTGGGATTCCGGGTCAGGACATGTCCCCAGTACCGTATGTTTGTCTCCCTGTTGGGATTCCGGGTCAGGACATGTCCCCAGTACCGCATGATTGTCTACTTGTTGGGATTCCGGGTCAGGACATGTCCCCAGTACCGCATGATTGTCTACTTATTGGGATTCCGGGTCAGGACATGTCCCCAGTACCGCATGTTTGTCTACTTGTTGGGATTCCGGGTCAGGACATGTCCCCAGTACCGCATGATTGTCTACTTATTGGGATTCCGGGTCAGGACATGTCCCCAGTACCGCATGATTGTCTACTTATTGGGATTCCGGGTCAGGACATGTCCCCAGTACCGCATGATTGTCTACTTGTTGGGATTCCGGGTCAGGACATGTCCCCTGTACCGTATGTTTGTCTCCCTGTTGGGATTCCGGGTCAGGACATGTCCCCAGTACCGCATGATTGTCTACTTGTTGGGATTCCGGGTCAGGACATGTCCCCAGTACCGCATGATTGTCTACTTATTGGGATTCCGGGTCAGGACATGTCCCCAGTACCGCATGTTTGTCTACTTATTGGGATTCCGGGTCAGGACATGTCCCCAGTACCGCATGATTGTCTACTTATTGGGATTCCGGGTCAGGACATGTCCCCTGTACCGTATGTTTGTCTCCCTGTTGGGATTCCGGGTCAGGACATGTCCCCAGTACCGCATGATTGTCAACTTATTGGGATTCCGTGTCAGAATAGGTCCCAAATAGTGGGTGATTGTCTGCCAGTGGAGAATCCTGTCAGAAAATGCCCTCAATACCGCATGCTTGTCTCCCTGTCGCGATTCTGTGACAGAATAGGTCCCAAGTACCGTATGCCTGTCGTTAAAGGCGACTAAAATTGGGATCAAGTGGCCACGCTGTTAATGGAATGACTGCGTGTTATCGGGCGTCAACTAATGGCTTGTCTGGCACAAGCTCAGTTATTTACAGGCTGTCGGGATAGAGCCGGAATGCTGGTGCTGGCTTCAGTGTAAATCAATCAAAAAAACGTATGAGCTCAATGACAACACTTCTGGTTGTTAGATTTATAACTATCAAAATAACATATTCTAAAGTTGTATTTTCATACATGTTAGATTTTGTCACTTTCAGGCGACATGGCGCACACAGCGAGGGAGCGTCAGCGGCTACTTCCTGGCAGGGAGGGACATGCTTTGGTTTGCGGTTAGTGCCATTCTAAAATCTTACCTACTATCAAATGAGAAAACTTCTTCGTTGTGCAGGTTGTGCGCTTATTGCTATATCGAGTCTAAAATAATCTTAAATATTACTTACAGTAATGATAAAAGTTGCAAAGTGCAGTTTTCAAGAAAAAGCCATTTGGTAGGGATAAATGTCATCAATGAGTTTTGATCACGTGGTTTCAATCCGGATATGGGTTGGCAGTCAGGTAAATGTAAGCGGCTTTAATTAAAAGAACGTGCACATGTAGTAATTTAAAGCGCTTTTGACCTATATTGAGATGCCCACATTGCTTATTGAGGGAGCACGGGTGGCCCGGTCGTCTCAAGCGCTGTGCAAAGTTGCGTCCCTTGGGCACGCCAGAAACCTATGATTGTGGGTTCGAATCCCGGTTCGCCCAGATGAGGTTTCTAGGTTCGTCTGTACCATACCCGTGCTCGGGGGTTTCGCCAAAGTCCTGCATCACTTCGGGCTTCCCTCCCACACTAAGCTGACACGACGTGATATAAATGGAATACTTTTCAAACCAACGTTAAGCCAGACTCATTCACTCACTTACCCTTACCCGGATTATAATAACGTGACCAAACTCAATTTATTTCGAGCATAGGGATAATTAAATTTCAATTTTTAAGTTTCAAATGCAACGCGATAACCTGGATTCTTCATGGCTCATACTTGGAAAACGTAGAAAGACGTGTTACAATTATGGAAATTCATTTTCTCGAACGTAAACGTTGTAGTATGAAAACATGACACATAATGCTATCTTTATGCATTGAAATAGCAGAGTCCTGCGTTGACTCGTGTATATTCATATACACCCTAGCCTACATCTATTCATCGAGCGGGTTGTGTCCTGCAAACCACTATTGTGTAAGATTCTTATATTAACATAACGCTGTTGAGTTAGTCCCGGGGTACACACAGCTCTCTGTGGCACGACTGTGAATTGCATTGCCTTCTGTGCCTGAAACAGCGGCCTTGACCTAAAGCATGCGCGTTAGAATGGGGCTGTTGTTATGAGGTTATCATGAGATGAGAGTGTTGCTCGGTTATTGACACAAAGTATGCCACACGATGTGACACCGCCATCAAAGCAGACTTCACGTTGAAGTTTGTAGTTTGTAGCTTGGATCTGACACATAGAGAAAGCGGGCGAGTGGGCAGTCCGTGTAGGAAGCACGGACACAAGGAGTGCTCTGTAATTTATGGGTACACGACACCAGGGTTAATTGAAAACAATACCTCATACATATGTACATTAACGTCAACTGGAAATAATGAATGGTCTCTCACGTATCTCAACTCCCCATAGTGGTGATATTATAGTTTGACCTGGGATTACAAGACCACATGTAGTCGTGAAGAAGAAACTAATAAATTAAGTTGGTACATCCATGACAACTGACCTTGATGTGTCTTCATAAGGGTCTGATATATGATTAGTAATAAACGGTTGTCCCATATTGGTATAGTTATAATGGATAAGGGCTGCCTATACTTCAACACTACTCCATCTGTCATAAACTGACGGGTAAAAGAAAGTATACACCATGTTTGATGGTGGCGAAAACGAAACAAGCAAGAAATGATTATTCGATGGTGAAGGGATTGATACGAGTATAATCGTTGAGTTTTGGAGTTTTGATGTTTCGGCGACTGTTTCAGCTCAGTAACGTTTGGATAACGTTTGTAATTTTTAGGTCAAATCTTTTCTTATTTTTTCATGTCTATACTTTCTTCTGCCTGGCAGTTTGTATCAAGAAAATAATTATCCTTGCATGAGTTCGTTTCGCTTAAGTCTAGTGGTAGAGCGTCCGCCCGGAGAGCGAAAGGTCCGGGGTTCGATCCCGGTCGCGTTATACCAAAAGACGTTAAAAGATGGTTCTTGTTGTTACCCTGTCTGGCGCTTAGCATTAACTGGCTAAAACAAGGACTGGTCGGCTCGGAGTCAGTATACTGTGTCTGAGTGGGGTATTCATGTTAAACTGCGGCATGGTATCTCAGTAGGCTAGCACTATAAATCGGCATCAGTCCGGACTAGTACAAGCAGCCACACACACACACGTGCATGCACGTCGCTATATAAGTGCAATAATCTTGGACGCGACGTTGAACCCAAATTCACCTCACTTCACCTCGTTTCGCTCAACGTCGCTACGAAAAGTACTTCAGTTTTGTCCCCTCATGTCAACTTAATCCCGATGGAAAGCTCCCTGTGTCCTCATGTCCCTATAATGCGCTGTTATCCTTGTTTAACGCAGCGCAACGCCAGCTCACTGGAATATAGCATTGTTTAAGTTTGTCAACAATGACTTCTCCGTCTTTATTGCATATTTAGCTTGTGACATGATACGGATGTCTTTCCACTTTTTCAAATTTTGACAAAATTGATGTTCTTTGCTTTAACAACATGTCAGTAAAACGTCACAATGGACAGCTAAACGCGGTCTTTAAGTAGGTGAGGTGAAATTTGGTTTAACGTCGCATCCAAGATTATTGCACTTATACAGCGACCTGCATGCATGTGTGTGTGTGTGGCTGACTGGTGCCGATTTATAGTGCTAGCCCACTGAGATACCATGCTGAAGTTTAACATGAATACCCCACTCACACACAGTATACGGACTCCGAGCCGAGCAGTCCTTGTTTTGGCCCCTTAATGCCAAGCGCCAGACAGGGTAATAACAAGTACCATCTTTTAACGTCTTTTGGTATAACGCGGCCGGGGATCGAACCCTGGACGTTCCACTCTACCCCGGACGATCTATTTTGAAACAGACAATCAAATGCGAGAATAAATGGCATTTGATTTATCAAAAACATTTATGACGCGCCCGGGACCTTCCGCTCTCCGGACGCTCAACCATTAGACCACGGAGGCGTTCCGGTCTTTATTTAATCCCGTGCATCAGGCAGTGGAGGACAATGGATATGACGATTTCATACATGATAACAACCATGACCATTATATACTGGTCAAATACAGTGATCATGAACATGCTTGGTGGTATTGTTTTGAAATTGTGTCACTTAAAAAAATATCCCTAAAAATATGATCCGTAACTATTTTTGTTCAGTATATGTAACTCCCCACATTAATGTAAACGCATGGGGATAGGAAATCGGAAAGATAAATATTTGCTTTATAAGGTTTGGCTCACGTTAGTGTTCTAGATTTTTCAGAATATTTACATATTGTCCAAACAAATAGAACAGAATGTGATATAAAGGATACATCATACATATGAGAATACAACAGGAGTTTAGTATCTAATCATGATTTAAAGTTTTTAAACTATCTTACTTTATATGTGTGTTAATAAGGTTACTTGTCATGGACCATGTATAATCACTCGCGTCTCGTGAGATGTAGGGTAAAGCTAATGACACGTGACAAAGTGATGGAGCGTATCATGAGACGTGTACAATACGCGTCCACTCCAATCGGGGTTCGATCCAAACCGAATGATCTGATGAAAGATGGAGACGGACCGATTGTTGCCCGGAATGCAGTTTTTCCGGACTAACGGGGTTCGAGATAACGGGATTTCGCAGTAAGACGACACAGAGACTGATGTAAAGGGAATTGGTCCATCGGTTATCCATATGGGTTAGCGATGGACAAATTCCCTGTCAGCCACACACACACGTGCATGCACGTCGCTATATCAGTGCAATAATAATAACGCGACGTTAAACCAAATTTCGCAGTCCAATGTGACGTTTTACTGACATCTTGGGATGGTTGCGACAATAATTACTTAGATCATAAAATCAATGTTAAATTATTGATCACAAAAATTCGGTTAAAATAGGAATCTACCAAACTTTCATTGTGACAGCTTCTAGCTTTTCTACCAATAAGAAGCCCTAAATTTTTAAACAGCCAATCAAATGCGAGAATAAATGGCAATAATACCAACTTATGCGCCCCTGCTTATGATAATTCACAGTATTTATCAGAAACATTTTGTTTCCAGATTGGAGCATCTCTGTTTTCGAGCAACATTGGCAGCGGCAGCTTCATCGGCCTCGCAGGCACAGGGGCGGCGTCGGGGATTGCCGTCGCAAGTTATGAACTCAATGTACGATAATGTAGATCAATCATGAACAAACATTGACAGAACATTTCTTCTTTTAATGTCTTAAGATGCAGGAGGAAAATTGATTTTTACAAAAACAATCTATTACTGCATTGTACTTATTTCCATCTTCCTTTTTAAGACACACACATGTATATTATGGGTTCTCCTTTGTATAAGACACACACATGTACATTATGGGTTTACCTTTGTATAAGACACACACATGTATATTATGGGTTCTCCTTTGTATAAGACACACACATGTACGTTATGGGTTCTCCTTTGTATAAGACACACACATGTATATTATGGGTTCTCCTTTGCATAAGACACACACATGTATATTATGGGTTTTCCTTTGTATAAGACACACACATGTATATTATGGGTTCTCCTTTGCATAAGACACACACATGTATATTATGGGTTCTCCTTTGTATAAGACACACACATGTATATTATGGGTTCTCCTTTGTATAAGACACACATGTATAAAATGGTTTCTCCTTTGTATAAGACACACACATGTATATTATGGGTTCTCCTTTGTATAAGACACACATGTATAAAATGGTTTCTCCTTTGTATAAGACACACACATGTATATTATAGGTTCTCCTTTGTATAAGACACACACATGTATATTATGGGTTCTCCTTTGTACAAGACACACACATGTATGTTAAGGGTTCATTTATTTGGGGGATACACTGTCACCCTTTCCTTTGAATTGGTAAGCGAGAGAGAATAGACATGTCAATATGACTGTCATCTGAGACAAAGGTTACAAAACAAAACAGTTACAGATGCCTATAAAGTGACAGACGGAAATATGAGACAAGTAATTAAATTGGCACTCCCTGGAAAATAGCTTGCCCTTCTGTTCATGCAAGTCTGATAGTAAAATACTTTTTCGGTCAACACTGAAAAACCTACAATCTTTCTTGATGGAGGAACTGGATAATTTTACTGTTTTAACAACACACACTTATAGAAACAACTATGTCCAGCGAACATTTTTTATGAGTAAAACTTGAAGCAAAATGATACATTCTTTTTCAATACTTTTTGAAACAAAATATTTTTTTCATTTTCTAAATAAAATTTCAGTCATTCAAGTTTCCTTAAGAGATTGTGACAATGGGTATAGAAGAAGATATGAAAAAATATGTTCCGCTGAAAATATATATGACTCTCTCTCCCTCTCCAGGGTCTGTTCTGCCTTTTGCTGTTGGCCTGGCTGTTTGTACCAGTCTATATAGCGAGCGGGGTATGTATCTGCCCTGGGTGTCAGTTGTGTGGTAATCGAGGAGACGACTTATCCGTGTCAGGACAATGCCTCCAGTTGTTTAATAAATTAGCATAACATGGCGTGGAGTAATCTCATAGTTTGCGTCCGTACCTTGTGCAGAGTTGCTGTCCTTAGGCGTGCAAGATTCCGATGCTTGGTTTTAAAGCAACATATCTATATAGTAGACGAGGACAACTTGGGCTTTCTCTTTCAAACTGATGGCCTGCTGTTATTCTTATCATACAAGGCAACGTAAAAATCAATAGGTCTTCAGTAATCCATGTTTGCCGTAAAAGGCGACTATGCTTGTCGTAAGAGGCGCTTAAGGGGATCGGGTGGTCAGACTCGCTGACTTGGTTAATGCATGTCATCGTATCATTGGATTGTCTAGTCCAGACTCTATTATTAAGAGACTGCTGTCATTTAACTGAAATATTGCTGAGTGTGGCGTTTAACAACAAACAAATAAACATCAGTAAGTCTATGGGGGTCCAATTCAGTCAACTGGAACCTCAACGCAAGTTAAATCGTCAGAGAGAATCACAACATGAGAAATAGGATAATTGATACAGTGACTTTTATCTTTGAGTATATACATAAGAGCTGGCCCAGCAATTTAAAAATAGTGAGGGTCCAACAACAAAACCCTGTCTCAGTTGGGGGAGGGGGGTGTCTACAACTTGCAACATTTGGTTTACAAAAGGGGGAGTCAGGGGGAATCCGGATCCCCTGGACCCCCTCTGGAACCGCCTATGTACCATATTCGTCTTATTTCAACAGTAAGAAAATAGTGATCTTACCATCCATCCCCCTATGGTCTCAAAGTCCAAATAGGTCCTCAACACGCCACGCTTGTAGCAACAGTTAATTAAAATAAAGTTCTGGCGATAACAATGTGTGAACTGTTTGATTGCGTGTACATCGCTGGCGTGCATGTACCAGGCGATGTTACTGACAGGCCACCGTAGCTAAATGATATATGTAATTTCTTCAATAATTCTTGTGTAAAACGTATGGATAATACATAGTGTTTAGCTTCAGCTGCTAATGGAGTCACATATGAACACATAGTTGTCATCACCCACACATGCCCATTACAGGTTTACACTTTACCGGAGTATTTGATGCGGCGCTTTGGAGGTCAACGACTACAGGTGTACATGGCGGTGTTGTCTCTGATCATCTATGTGTTTACAAAAATATCAGTAAGTACCAAATGACACTCATGACTGAACAATAAACATGCCTGAAGTATTAAGATGGCTGAACATGAAAATGGCTACGAATATACATGTTGGCGTATAGGTTGCTGTTGGGTAGTAACGGATATTAATTGGCCCAAAAACAGTAAAGCAACAATAAACTAAAGGCCCAGTCCATATACGGTCATTTGTCATTGTTTTAATGTAAAAGGCTGATAACGTGTATGACACACTAGCCTCGTGTACATTTAGGCTAACATAAGTGCACTACAGACGCTTTCTTTATCTGTAGGTTGACACGAGTGCATTATGAATTACTTTCTTTATCTGTAGGCTGGCGAGAGTGCATTATGAATGACTTCCTTTATCTGTAGGCTGACGAGAGTGCATCATACATTACTTCCTTTATCTGTAGGCTCACGTGAGTGCATTACAATGACTTCCTCTATTTGTGGGCTGACGTGAGTGCATTATCAATGACTTCCTTTATCTGTAGGCTGACACGAGTGCATTACAATGACTTCCTTTATCTGTAGGCTGACACGAGTGCATTACAATGACTTCCTTTACCTGTAGGTTGACGTGAGTGCATTACAATGACTTCCTTTATCTGTAGGTTGACGTGAGTGCATTATCAATGACTTCCTTTATCTGTAGGCTGACGTGAGTGCATTACAATGACTTCTTTATCTGTAGGCTGACGTGAGTGCATTACAATGACTTCCTCTATCTGTTGGCTGACACGAGTGTATTACAATGACTTCCATTATCTGTAGGTTGACGTGAGTGCATTACAATGACTTCCTTTATCTGTAGGTTGACGTGAGTGCATTACAATGACTTCCTTTATCTGTAGGTTGACGTGAGTGCATTACACATAAATTCCTTTTCTGTAGGCTGACGTGAGTACCTTATAAATTACTTCCTGTATCTCTAGACCAACATGAGTACCTTATAAATTACTTCCGTTATCTGTAGGCTGACATGTATGCTGGCGCCATCTTCATCCAACAAGCTGTCAGGTGGAACATCTACCTCGGAATCCTCGTCCTCCTCGTCATCACCACCATCAACACGGTCTCCGGTAAACACAGATTCAACCAACATCCACTCACAGTGTTCTTACATACAAACCTAAATTATATACTGGTTAATGTAGCACGTCATATCTACAGGTAACATAGCACTAGTTTAGAATGTGTATCCATTCTACAATGAGCAAACGAAACATGAACTTGATCATGTTAGCGAAGACATCTAAACAGAGAAAAAGAAACATTTATATCAGAGTATTGCTGAACGAAATATGTACACAATAGATACAATATTTGAGATAAACATTGTATATGCACTGGACAAATTACGAACTGTTTATAACCATTAGCTATATATGCAAAGGCGTGTTGCAAAGTATCTAATAATCGATTAGTGATTTTATTCTGTCCAAATTAATTAATAAAAAGCCCCAAAGGACACATAATTGATATCATGCTACTTGCTACCAAAGTATCATTTTAGATTTTCTTCGCCAGAACCTGAAATTGTTCTTCTATCTACCAAAAATCAAACCCCTGGACACAACAAGGCCGTCAAACAATGAGAAATACCAGTCTCAACCAGTCATCACTTAAGACACATTCAAATCACTTGATATTTCGCTTTCTATTTCGCAATATCTATACGTAAAACATACACAGTTTTAATCAATTGTCTGGGCTTGTGAATGATAATCAATGCGAGTAATGTAATACACCCTAACAAAATAAAAAAGCACGTTACTGGAGAGCTTGTAATTTTCGGTGATACATCGGGAGATACAGTAACGGTTACTAATAATCACAGTGAAAGACTTCTTACCTCTTTGATTCCACGACGAGTGATCAAATGTTCAACTTGGAACAGTCCAGGTAGAGCAGATCTTGGTCGATCTTTCGTTAATGCCCTTCCAATAAGAGTTCTCTCGTGCACGTCCATCGTCTTATACCGTCAGCTGTTAATCACCAAACTCACAAGTACGTGTGTTCGTTGGTCACGAAAAAGGGATGTGTTTCTCGGTTGACATTCTATGTGCTCGTAACAGAATAACAGACAGTAGATAGATATGACGTTCATCACTGAGTCGAATATATCGCGCCGTATTTGTGTCTGAAGGCACACACGGCTGTCATTATTTACGCCCAAATGTCTGCCAAAAATTCATTTATTAACCAAAACCATGGAGTCAGAAGAGGAGGAACAGCATAGACTGAAGTATTTTATATTCAGAATCAATTCATCCTAAGCATTTATGTTTATAAACTATAAACTAGGTTTGTTTGTTTGTTGTTTAACGCCGCTCTCAGCAATATTCCAGCTATATGACGGCGGTCTGCAAAATAATCGTGACTGGACTAGACAGTCCAGTGATTGACATCATGAGCATCGATCCACGCAGTTGGGATCGATGACATGTAACAACCAAGCCAGCGAGCCTGACCACCCGATCTCGTTAGTCGCCTTTTACGACAAGCATAGATGCTGCCTTTTACGGCAAGTATGGGTTGCTGAAGACCTATTCTACCCTGGAATCTTCACGGGTCCTATAATAAAACCTAACGAGGGACGTATCAAACCCCATGTACCCCTTGTGATCATGCTACAACGAATTTATCTTACCGACATGTTTTAATGTTACATTGTAAAAGTATTAACACAAATAGATAGAAAACGACTGTTCGATTGAGCTGAGGTTAACTAGTGCTATGTCATTTGACTCCCATTGACTCGGAAAAAGCGTGCGGCTTTTCATTTTGAAGAGGGGTATAAAGGATTTATTCTTCCTCTAAGAAATCCACGTGCAGCCTGTATTGCTCGTGGCGGGGTATCAGAGATTTAGTCCCTCGCTGAAGTTTATTACCCTCCAAGGCGGGTCAAACAGTATTTGATCAAGATCATGTCGACCAATCAGATCTCATCATTCTGACATGGATGTATGATGAAGAATATTGCTTTAAACTGAAACAGAGAACACACATACGGATACCGGAGATGAACGAGCGTAGATTCAAATAGCTCTATGAAATAGTGATGCTATGAAATGCTGTATCTTCTTCTGTAAATGCGATAGATGGCGCCAAAAGTAGCCAACATTGCATGATTCCCTCATCTGCATTGCATAGCCATGTATTTGAAACGTAAACGTGCATGGTATTCAGTTATGAAAAAAACTACCATGCTAAAGAACAGACACAATAGAATGTGACTTAAAGCTACGTGATATTGTATTCTACTCAACAATAGCGGTTTCAGACAGGTTTTCTCCGCGTCCTTTGTGGTCATAGGGGTCCCCTTTCGAGGAAGACAACCGTATTGGTGGCCACGATTCTTACACATGGCAGAGTGAAGCGGCGTGGGTTGAGGCCAATATTTTGAGTAGGTCATCGATTTGAAGTAACGAAAGGCCTATTTCCTCGATGTATATACTCAAACATAACATAGATTGTCAATGCAAGAGAATATCCAGTTCAGTTTATCCACCGAAACTGATTCCATTTGGTGTAAGGGGCAAAATTATATGAATGGACCACTGAAAATCAGCGATGAGAGCAACAAGGGTAAGGATGACCTGCCCTACCGGTAGTATCCGCAATTCACACAATTAATGTTCATAAAAAAATAAGTATCTATTGCCTGACGCCGCACAGAAGTACACCTGTCATGCAACGTTGGCCTGGAAACAAACCAGACATTTCAAGTGACTGAGAAACCGGAAAATCCAGTGACACGATAGCGTATTTACTGATTTTGTTGAAACTAATAAAAACCATGTTAATTTTGAATTACATCTGGTGTGTACAAGTGTGGAGATCCTGCTGCTAACAAGTAAAGAAATGCAACGACTAGTTATTGAAAGAGTATTTCACAACTATTTCGTAAGACTATTGATAAATGCATAGTAACACACCATCACCTATTGACACACTCACTCACTGTCAAGCCATGTTTCAGGTGGTTTGAAGGCCGTCATCTACACAGACACACTACAGACAATCATCATGGTCGCTGGGGCGTTTATACTCATGGGGATCAGTAAGTGTGTTTTCTGACATTGATTAACTCTGTGTCATTCAGATTCGGGTTTCATTATAGTAAAAGTATCATTGACGAACATATTCCTTCTGGTGTTTAAATATTAATTATGTATTTTGATGTGATAGATTGACAGTTGTTACTATTACACAATTATTCATGTATGAGTTTAATTTTTACTTGTTTCCATATACATTTTTAGACATTTTTTTCTGAAAATGAATCGGTATCTTTTTAATCGTTTGGAAAATATGCTGTGAAATCACAACCACCATGTATTGCGTGCGTGTTCGTCGTTGAGCACATGACCGCAATTCTTTCAATTTTAGGTTTTGCTAAGGTCGGCGGGTTGGAATCTGTGTATGAAAAATACTTCCAAGCCATTCCAGAGAAAGGCATAAACGGAAGTGACGTGTGTGGTCTACCACCTAACGATGCCTTCCATTTGCTGCGGGATGCGTCAACGGGTGATCTCCCCTGGCCGGGGAACGTCTTTGGAATAACGATTCTAAGTGCTTGGTACTTCTGCTCAGATCAAGTAAGTGAGGCAGCTTGTTTTAACGTCAGACACAGCTACTTGCGATCCACAACTGGGGCAATAGGGCATCCGTTGACGTAAACAGTACCTGAACAAAGATGTATTCAGTCAACCAACGATGCAAGACTAGGTTTACAATGAGCAAATAAACTGGGGAGTAAAAGAAAGTGTCTTGAGTTTATGTTTAATATAGCGAAAAAATTGAAAGAAATGTTAAATTTTATTATGTCTATTTAACCACCAATCATTCCGGCTACAGGTTATAAAAAGTACTCCGGGTAATTTTGTGTGAAAATATATTGGTTCAATGGTGACTGGGGTAAGGTATGTATTTGCAACCACGTGACCGCGACCATTTTTAAATGTACGTTTGTGACGAAATCTACATAGCGAAAGCGTCAAATTCAGCAGGTGACCGGTTCATACAGACTAGTTCATACAAGCCGGTTCATTCAGACCGGTTCATACAAACTTGTTCATAAAGACTGGTTCTCGGCGATGTGTGCGGTGTTCCTTTTGCGACTGCTCACAATGCAACAGAAATTGTGGCCCCGGTTTGACGTCTCATATACTTTGAAAACAGTTAAACTGTTTGTTTTTTGAGGCAGCAACCGAACCACGATAAACTTAATGTTTGCATACTGCTGTCAAGTAATTGCAATGGGTATCCTAATAAAAGGTCAGACAATGTGAAGTGCACTGTAACAGTGGTTGTGCTGCAGGTGCTGGTCCAGCGTTCCCTGGCAGCCAAGAACATGCACCATGTCAAGGGGGGCTCCATCATGGCGGCGTACCTCAAGGTCATACCACTGTTCACCACAGTCTTCCCTGGCATGATCAGCAGGATTCTCTATCCAGGTAATTCACTTTCCAGTTATTCACTCTCCAGATAATTCACTATCCAGGTATCTCTCTTCTCTATCTCTAACTCTCAACCTGGTAATTCACTATCCAGGTTATTCACTATCCAGGTAATTCACCATCCGGGTAATTCGCTATCCAGCTAGTAATCTATCCAGGTAATTCGCTTTCCAGCTAAAAATTTATCCAGGTTATTCCCTATCCAGCCAATAATCTATCAAGGCACTTCACTATCCAGGTAATTCTCTATCCAGGTAATTCACTATCCAAGTAATTTTTTATCCAGGTAATTCTCTATTCAGGTAATTCACTATCCAGGTAATTAACTATCCAGGTAATTCGCTATCCAGCTAATAATATATATTCAGGTAATTCACTATCCAGGTAATTCGCTATCTAGCTAAAAATATATCCTGGTATTTCGCTATCAAGCTAATAATCTATTCGGGCACTTCACTATCCAGGTAATTCTCTATTCGGGTAATTTACCATCCAGGGAAGTCACCACTTTGGTAATTTCTTAACCTGGTAATTCACTGTCCAGGTAATTCACTATCAATGTAACTCTCTATTCAGGTTATTCACCTTCCAGGTATTTCACTATCGAGGTAATTCACTACCCAATGTCAATGTCCAAGTAACAATAAGTATACCCGAAAAAAAGCAAATGCTTCTGTGGCAATTGATTGCATGCAAATCTTTTCCTGCATTTATGTCTCCATAATGGGTGCACAATTTGTCTAAAACTGTGTAATAACTCTCTATCAAAGTATTGCTCTATCCAGGTAATCAACTATCAAGATAATTCTTTATCCAGGTAATGATAATTCACAGGGATGTGCCAAGGGGATTATCTATACGGGTAATTTTGTATGCTATGCTCATTATTGTTAAAATAGTAACACGAACACTTCTCTGCGTCTCAATAACAGGTGAAGGGACGTATACCCAAACACACGTGGTATATTCATTGTGTTTCAGACCAGGTAGCGTGTGTTGACCCCGACACCTGCTGGGCGGTGTGTGAGAACAGGGCCGGCTGCACCAACATCGCCTACCCCAAACTTGTCATCGAGCTCATGCCGGAAGGTACATCACGCTCTTGCCCTTCTATAAACATGTACATGCCATCATCTCTCGTAAACATGTGCATGTCGATAGTCACAGGCTGTCCCGCATTATACTATAGAATAAATTGACAGAAGTGAGTGGGTATGGTTTTACGCCGCTTTTAGTAATACCACGGCGCGGGACACCAGAAATGGGCTTGACACATTGTACCCATGTGTGGAATCGAACCATGGTCTTCGGCGTGACGAGCGAACACTTTTACCACTAGGTTACCCGATTGCCCCATGGACAGAAGGATACACTGTAGATGTCATGATGAAAATATTCCATTTAACTATTTTATTCAATTATTCATTATTAATTTCATATTTTCGATTTTAGATGTTCAAAATCAATTTTAGATCACACATTAATGTAGTTATATCTAAATATCAGTTTGTTCCTCGATGTAACTAGCTGATCACATCGATGTGTATAGAATTACCGTGTTCTGTAACCATTTGGCCGTTACTGTAGTGGCTAAAAGAGATAGATTAAAGGATTGAATTAAAATACTCAAACACGATTACATAGAAACATAGGTTATCTTATAGATACAGTAAAACCTCGCAAATATGAGACCAGTGAAAATGCATCTAGTTATCCGTGGTGACGAGATTAAGTGCTTAAAATCATCCTACTGGACCCTGAACATAAATCTCCTCTTCACCTTTATATTTATTACTTTCTCTATCTCGTAGTCTGGATATCTCAAAAGTTTCAGAGATTTGTCACATCATTTACTTTGATGATAGGAAGATGTTCATATCACCGCAGGTCTGAAAGGTCTGATGTTAGCGTCGATGATGGCTGCGCTCATGTCGTCGCTGACGTCGGTGTTCAACAGTGCCAGCACCATCTTTACTATCGATATCTGGAAGAGGATTCGGCCTAAGGCCGCGGACTCCGAGTTGCTCGTGGTTGGCAGGTAGGTGACGATAGCGTCCACAACGGAGGAGAGTGTAGCCATTGCCGTAGCGGGGATCGTAGCCGTAGCCGAAGCAGGGACCGTAGCAGTCGTAGCGGTAATCGTGCAAGTTTCCGTAGCGGTGATCGTACAAGTAGCCGTAGCAGTAGCCACAGCTGTGATAGTAGCAGTAGATGTATCGGTGGTCGTAGCAGTAGCCGTAGCGGTTATCGTAGCGGTAATTGTAGCAGCTGCCGTAGTGGTTATCGTAGCAGTAGCCGTGGCGGTTAACGTAGCAGTAGCCGTGGCGTTTATCGTAGCAGTAGCCGTACCGGTTATCGTGGCAGTTATCGTAGCAGTAGCCAATCTCTCATGACGTACACGTCATGTCTATGTTTAAGTCAATACAAACGTAGATTTCTCGTTGGTTTGAAAGTGTCTTTTAGTGAGGGATGGAGTAAGCGAATGATGTTTTCACGTTGCAATATTCAGCATAATGTTACGGCGATCACGGGGCAGGTAAATTAGGGGTTTACAACACGGGCAACGACCCGATCATCTATTATGGAGGGTCACAAAATGGCAGTTTCTTGCCAGGATGCAAAAACAAACGTTTATTGTTCACATGTTTATAATATTTCTTCGATTTTCATAATAAATTACGTCAAACCAATACCCTACATACCCAAGAATATGTGCCATGCGTATCACACGATAGATAAATATAGGACGTGTGATGTCAAAGTCCTCTGCGTTACCGTGGTTCAACTATTCAATAAATGTTCCTCTGGACTCACGTGTTCATGGTGATATAATTTACCATTTTTAAAGCATTGGGGAAAATAAGATATATGGATGAACAACTTCTTTATCACAATTAGGTGCGACGTTTCGGTGTAGGTTCTAACACCGTTATCAAGCAAGTTATCACACCGGTATCACTTTCTTGGTAACGGGTTTAGAACCTACATCGAAACGTCGCTTGTAATTGTAATAAAGAAGTTGTTTATCTATATGTATAATCTTTACTTAATACTCCAATTCCTAAATGCCACTCAGAGAAGTCCTTAGAAAGACAGTTATAACTACGTTTATAACTATGTTATAACTAGGTCAAACGATTGCTTCCACTTGTATGTGCAATTCCCCACTTTCTGTGAAAAAAACATCAGTGATCGATGAAATGTGTATAATGTAGGAAACAATCGTTCCACGGATATCATAACAATCAAAATGTTAATAATATGTATGTATATGCAAATTACCTGTAGTGTAAATAAACACATACCTTCATGGCTAACGTTAACGTTATTAACCATACGTACATGATATGTAAAATGAGTTCAAAGTTCTACTACACTAGAGTCACCATGCCAACACTGTATTGGTCCTATTGCAGGGTGTTTATTCTGGTTCTGGTGGGCCTTAGTATACTCTGGATTCCAGTTCTTCAAGCTGCCCAAGGGGGACAACTCTTCAACTACATCCAAGCGGTGACGGGATATTTTGCCCCGCCAGTTCTCTCCCTTTTCCTCTGTGCTATATTATGGGGGAGAACAAATGAAAAGGTAATCGATCTATGCAATAATTTATCTCTTAATGTGAAAAACGCCTATATATGATAAATATTGTATTTGCTGAAATTGAACAAATAGTATTTTGGAAAATGAATAGATTGCAAATGATCGTGATCTTACCACCGTTTTCACTGTGATTTTCAATCTACTTTATATAACGTTTAATTAAGAGGTTACCGATGTAAGTGAATCTATCTGACGTCGGAGTAAACTGTTAGTGAGTATGGATTTACTCCGCCTTCGGCAAGGTATTTCATGGAACACCCACATGAAATATGCTGCAATATCAGAGAATGATCTTGAACGTGACGTTAAACCCTATTTCATCTCACCTTTCGAAATCTTAAGATCAAGCAACTTTGTGTACTTGTTATGCACCCAAGACGCTAACGCCACTCTACTTGACTTTGACCGCTTTTTAAAGGTATGTCAAACAAGAACGGTGATGGACATAGATATCTATGTGCATACAGATAACAGATTGAGGTCAGACACAGTCAGTAAACAGCAACACCCTGCATTAAACTAAACAAACAAAGTATTCACGAAAAATAAATAAAAAAGGGTTAAGCTGGCGTATACGTACCGTATAGTATGCAAATAATTAGTTTTGACGAGATCAATATGCTAAAGAAAGACCCGTATATTGAGCGGGAGTAATCATTCGTTTTGTTATACCAAAATACCCTTTTAAGTTTATGAAGCCTTTTAACCATCCTCTGTTTCATTACAGCAAAGATGTATATATCTGTGTAGGTCTTTGATTACACTACCTTAGCTGCGAACCGTGAAATGTTAGTAGACACGCCGTCTTGTAATGTGGAAGACGAGTCAATATTCGTCATGGGAAAAGTCAATACTGATCATATGACGAGGCAATATTCGAGGTCAGTGTCAGTCGCGTGATTTTGGGATTTACATTGAAATATATTGTTTCGTCACGTCTTACGGAATAACCAATGGAATTACCCATGGGGTTAGACATAACCGTGTTATTAACTCTCGTATGTGCTCTAGTGCAATATCTTTTCACGCGCAGCAGTGTATTGTTGACGGTATCGGGACGGCATTGTTGTCGTCATTAAAATCTTATTGTGAGGTAAGGTCGGTACGACGTCACACTGAAAATGACGTCATAGCTGAATATCATTCGACGTGGGTTTTTTAGACGGCGGTCAAGATCAGTGCACTTTTCTATAGGGGAGGTCAAAAGGGATAAGAAATAATGGGTCGTAAAGAAATTAATACACTCCAATGCGTGTCATACTGATTATAAGAAAATCGGGAAATACAAGAATTCTGACACTCGTTTCATAAAATCAGTATCAATGAGGATGCCAATTCCGTACAATTCTGTGAACAGTAACACACATATCCAGATCGTTATCAGTTTATTACTTGTTTTCGTTACATTCTTCTACAGCTACCTTACTTTTTGTCTGTGGGTGAGTTTGGTTTAACGCCGTTTTGAACAGTGTTTCCGTTAAGGGGTGGCACGTGGTCCTGCGCACAGCGCGCAGGTCACAAAATAGGTGAAGTTAATCAACGACGGTCGCGGAGAACAGTTGGATCCATGACCGTGTTTGCCAGCAGTCTTTCTGGGGCTTCGGTCCTACCCTACTCTGAAGCACATCTGAGTAGCATGTGAACCCCCCTTAGGCAATTGACTGTTCGAAATATGCCTCTGACCCAGTGGTTAATGAGTACCATATTTCAGGATCATATATCGGTAATCCTGTAAGTCTACGAGCTGTCTAGAGTTTTTCAAGTTTGTCCTTTAATAATAATCAGCAACCATCCCCATACCCCACATACCCCACAAGCATATCCAAGATATCCATATCCATATATATTTTGTTTTATTAGTGAGTGAGTGAGTTGGGTTTAACGCCGCTTTTAACATTATTCCAGTTATATCGTGGCGTGTCAGCTTAATGTGGGAGGAAAGCCCGAAATGATGCAGGTCTCAGACGTTTACCACTTCGGTGAAACCCACGAGCACGGGTATGGTGCTGACAAACCTAGAAACATAATTGGCGCGAACCGGGATTCGAACCCACAATCATAGGTTTCTGGCGTGTCCAAGGGACGCAACTCTGCACAGCGAATCGCGGCGCCTTAGACGACTGGGCCACCCGTGCCCCCTTTTGTTTTATTAAGGTAGACTTTAATTTTCCAGGTTCGCCTGATTATGGTTGTAGGTTTTTCACCACCAATCTGTGTTCGTGGGCGTCAGTAATGTGGTAAACGTCTCAGATCTGCATCACATTCCTACCGAGCTGACATACCGTGATGAAATACTGTTCAAAGCAGGGTTAAACCTAACTCACTCACTCACATTCAATAAAGAAAATAACATTTAGCGTCTGAAATAAGGTTCTGCATTTACTGACAGCATTCAGTCATTGTTGTAAACAGGTTAGTTCAATGCAGATGATACGCTTTATCGCGATAGGATATGTAACTCGATAGTAGTTTCTATCGTTGTGTATGGATAAAGACGTCACAACACGAAACACACCAAGGAACCATGATTCAACGAATCGCGATGAAGTGAATCTTTGCGTCGTTAACTCATCAATGAGGAATGTGCAAAATACAAAAGTCTTGAAAAATACTTCAAAGCAAATCAACATAGATAGTGAAGTTTAAATTAAAAAACAATTGAATTTTAACCAATAAGTTTATTATGACGTAACTGAAAAATCAATATTATAAAAATATATTTATATCTTATTTCGGCATTGAACGCTTTGCCATTTGGGGGTTTAGACCCCATAAACTAAGCTGCAAAACAAAGAAATCTTACATTAGTGTTGTTGTAACATAGGGTGCATTCTGGGGGATGATGATCGGCTTGGTAATTGGTCTGGTCAGAATGGGTCTGGACTTCGGCTACGGAACCCCAGGGTGTGGAGAGGTGGATGATCGTCCTGTCATCATCTCCAAAGTCCACTTCCTCCATTTTACCATCCTCCTCTTTGTCGTCAGCATGGTCGCCACCATCGTCATCTCCATCCTCACTGAAGCACAGAAGCCGTCACATGTGAGTAATTCAGCCCTGCTGGGAATGTTCTTTCCCGTATCTAAGTGCCCTGTCGACATGACTTTGGGCATCATCCCGAGGCAAGGGCGTCAACTGACTCTAAAAGTCCAGTTTCCACCCTTGCCGAACTAGGCCCTCCAGGCTAGATCATAGCGCCACCAGTGGCTATTACGAGTTATGCCCCTTCTATGTTCCGCGGCGGCGTCCAGTCAAGACGATCTGCTCGATAGTCAAGATCTGTATTGTTATTAAACGGGCCTTACCCCGCGAATTGCATCAAATCACGTGCGTACCTTAATAAAAACATGAACGAAATTTGCAAAATATCTGTCTACGCCTTGTTGACAGTACATATGCTTTTGAAATCCTGCGGTCGACCGAAATCTTTACGTTGTCGTTTACGAACTTGATGTCCAGTTCGTTACGCGATTTTGATTGGACTATGCATAGACCTGTTAGTCCAGCCAGAATGTAACTCAATAATTCCCGCCTATTTCGGCAAGGGTGGAAACTGACCCTTAACAGTCAGCTAACTTCCTTGCCTCGGGAAGATGGTCTTTGGGTCATGTATGTCTGTTCTGTATTGGTCACACAGACACATAAAAGGAAACAGTAGATGGACGTTGTTTAACGTCCATCTGTGGTATGTTTTCACAAAAAAACATCGCTCACAACGAAAAAGACCATGTCACTTCACGGACACACATTATGCATTTCTAGTTGGAATGAAAGTCATGCACTACACACCGCGGTCCTATAACTCATCTGTTGTTTTAATTCATTGCATAATATTTTTCTCTAACAACAAAAAGCATCATTTCACGTAACAGAAACACATTAACATGAATTAGAGTTGGAATGAAAGTCATGTACTGAACACAAAGGTCCTATATCTCATCTAGTGTCTTGATTCACTGCATTAAAGAAGTAACTGTATCTTTAGGACATTTAGTGCCTGGACCCAAAACACAACGTTTTTGTTTGTTTGTTTGTTTGTTTGTTTGTTTGTTTGTTTGAATTTTAAAGAACATCCATTTGATGCCCATCATTTGTTGTTCAACCAAGAAAACAGCGTTATCACTATCCCCTGCCATGGGGCACATTAGAATTTTGTTTATTCATATGGTAGTGAATATATACTATAAAAAGAGCCTTAAGAAGAGATAGGCACTTGGGCCGCTCTATGTCATGAAACAAAATGATTAAATGTGAAATTAATGCACACAAAATGCCCCTTCTCTGGCAACAATAACTCAGTCTTGATAGGTATCTCTAAGATAAGCTAACTTCAGTAGTATCTGAGAAAACCTGTCCCAATTGCACACGCTATGCACCAAGAAAAACAACTGTAAAAAAAACTACGAGACAAATTTTCAAACTCAATCTTGACAATATCTCTTTCTTTCAAGTACATTCAGTAGTTTCTGAGGAAACCTGTCCCTATATCACACTGTATCCACCAAGTTTAATAACACGGAGCAAGGGAAATGGCTCCCTAACAAATAATTTACGGAATATCCAATGGGCTCGATCTCAGTCTTGACAAATGTCCCTCAGATAAGCATGCAAACTTTCATTCAAGAAAATTCAGTAGTTTCTGAAAAACCATTCCCAATTTAACGTAGTGTACACCAAGTTGAAAAGGGCCATAACTCTATAAAAAATGAGTTTACGGCACCAATTTTCAAACTGATCTGTGTGTAAGATTTCATTTCTCTAACTTATAGAGTTTTGAGAAAAGGGCGGACGTTAGGAGTTAGTGGCGAGAGGTAATGATACTTTGCAAGAGAGCGTACTTTCTGTATTGAATCTTTGACCTTCATTTTCGAAGTTCATTGACCTCTGTTACTACCATCCATCACCAGCGACACTTACAACGCATGGTTTCGGGAAGTTCAAGGGTAATATTATAAATAAAATATAACCGAAATTTGGGTCAATTCCTGTAATTTGATAATAGCCTTATTTTGGACTATGTGGTTTGAGAAGGGAATGCAGTTCAAACCCCTTTGTCTTCGCCTATCCTGCACCCAAAAGTTAACGCCAATGTAATGGAGTTCAATATATGAGATATCTTGTTGTGAAACCTTCATTCCTTTTCACACTGACTCGTGTTTTGTGGCAGAGTGTCCGCCTCACATGGTGGACCAGACACGACCAGGAAGACAGAGAAGAGTTCCCGGAGGAACGAGCACGTAGGGAGAAGGGCCAAGCTCAGAGGAAGGAGGATATGGCTAAACGCAAGCCTGTGGGTAAGGATGTGTACATCAGCGCCATCTTGGCGAATGTCCATGTTCATTAGAAAATTCCAATTTGGAATTGCATGAGGTTTCTCTACTACTTTGTAATGAATGTATCGACTGGTATTTCAAGTTGGAACCTTCATGTTGTTTGATGGTTGGCTTGCTTGTTTAACGCCGCACTCAGAAATATTCCAGCTGTAAATAATCGAATATGGACCAGACAATCCAGTGATTGACATCATGAGCATCGATCCACGCAATAGAGATACCTTGACATGACTAAACCAAATCAGCGAGCCTGACCACCCGATCCCGTTAAGTGCCTCATACGACAAGCATAGTCGGCATTTACGGCAAGCATGGGTTGCTGAAGACCTATTCTACCCCGGATCTTCACGGGTCGGTACCTTCATGTAAAGTAATCAGGTGTAATGTAATACACAGCGACAGGAACTATTAGGATATTTTTTATACATCTAAGATGTAAGAACGACGTGTAACATCTGACTTTGGCGGTTCGAAATGGAAAGGATTCATAACATTATGTCTATAAAATGTATGTTAGTAAAGAGTAATTTTACATGAGACCACGCTGGTTCCTATTTCAAGCCTTACTTTAGATGCTTTACCTTGCCGGAAACAGTGACAAGGTATGTCTGCATCATCAGCTTTGTGGTTAGCTGGATGCATCAGACAGAGCGTGTAATCAGGCAGAAAATCTGTTTTTGAATTATTTGACTCAAACTTCCCAGAAATACCAATTGAAATGGGGGGAGTCATTTGAGCCTGGGGAGTTACCTGAGCCTACGACGGGGGAGTCGTTTGGACCTACGGGGAGTCATCTGAGCCTAGGCTCAAATAACTCTAGAGTCGTCTGGGCCTGGGGAGTCATTTGAGGCTCCTACACCGGACCCAGTCTTCCTTACAAGAAGGACTGAGCTTGGACAAATTGCAAGCTCTATGTTTGATTAAGTCGGTCAAAACCTTGGTTGTATGGCTGTAAACTCACACAGATTATCAGTCGAATGGTTACCCTTATCACAAAGAGGCAATGTCTCAGTTTTACACGGGACACTTATTTCAACGTCTAGTCCAAGACTGGAAATTGGCCCCATACCGTGGCGCTTCGCCCCACTTCCAGGACGACATCATGGAGATCTCATAGTGTGTAATCATCGGTAGATTGTCCACCGTTATGAGGGCTCCTAGTCATTTTGAATTTACGTTAACATGAACAAACACCATTGTAATCAGTACTTGCCATCGTTTACAGATATGAGGGCAGACACGTTAACATGTACAAACACTATTGTATTCAGTACTCGCCATCGTTAACAGATGTGAGGGCAGACACGTTAACATGTACAGACACTATTGTATTCGGTTATCACCTTCCTTCACATGTGAAAGGGTAGATACGTTAACATGAACAAACAATATAGTAATCAGTACTCGCCATTGTTCACAGATGTGAGGCCAGATACGTTAACACGTACACTATTGTATTCGGTTATCACCTTCGTTCACAGATGTGGCATCCTTGCCTCAGTGGCGCCGTATCATGTACTTGGTATGCGGGTATGAACCCCCCAAGGCGGAGGAGATCTCGGAAGAGGAGGAGGAAAAACAGAGGAAGGTCTTGACTTCTATAGAGGAGACACCCAAGTGGAGAATGTTCGTCAACGTCAACGCCATCGTGTTGATGACAATTGGAATATTTCTATGGGGGTTTTTCGGCTAAATTATTTGTGCTTTCATTAGGGTGTTTCTTTTTGCACATATTCTCGAGATGGCATGTTTATCTATTATTGCTACCTGCATCAATACACATTACGTATTCGTACAATGAAGGTTCCGTTAGTGTACTGTTGCTTGTCATACTTTAAATACATTTATTCAAGTAATATAATTATTTCATTATACTGTAACGCATGTCTTTTTTAACTAATTTAAACGCCATTTCACCTACTAATGGAGCTCTGACGCCAGTGAAGTTCTATTGGAAGAAGAAAAAATCTTAAGCTCTATGTAATTTATTCCTATAATGTACAAATTCATTCCACTGCAACGCACGTCTCTTTAAAACTTTCTTAAACGCCATTTCACACTGGAACTTCACTGTCGTCAGAGTGCTTTTAGTTTGAGGTTTTAATAGAGACATTCACTATTGATCTGTAATATATTGAGCTGAGTCGGCTCTCACACACATGAGTGTCAGGCTGAGATGGCCTCCGAAATTACACTGAATACTTGGAATGAAATTAGAATACACATTGACATGAACTGGTTGTGTGGAGGGGCAACAATAGTATGCACATTGACATGAACTGGCAGTGTAGAGGACAACTTAGAATATACATTGACATGAACTGGCTGTGTAGAGGACAACTTAGAATATACATTGACATGAACTGGCTGTGTAGAGGACAACTTAGAATATACATTGACATGAACTGGCTGTGTAGAGGACAACTTAGAATATACATTGACATGAACTGGCCGTGTAGAGGACAACTTAGAATATACATTGACATGAACTGGCTGTGTAGAGGACAACTTAGAATATACATTGACATGAACTGGCCGTGTAGAGGACAACTTAGAATATACATTGACATGAACTGGCTGTGTAGAGGACAACTTAGAATATACATTGACATGAACTGGCCGTGTAGAGGACAACTTAGAATATACATTGACATGAACTGGCTGTGTAGAGGACAACTTAGAATATACATTGACATGAACTGGCCGTGTAGAGGACAACTTAGAATATACATTGACATGAACTGGCCGTGTAGAGGACAACTTAGAATATACATTGACATGAACTGGCTGTGTAGTTCAGTTTCCAAAAGACAAAAAGTTCCAGATAACTAGAAAACTAGACACAGGGACGTCTGTGAAGCTATCGGCCACAGCAGGGTATTTTTCGTTTCTTTTTTAAATTTTTGTTGTTTCATTTTTATACAGGGTTGCGCATGATTACAATAATAAGATAAACTTTTAACATGACATTTGACGGTAAATAAGTTATGACACGGGGACCAGAATTGATCAAAGTAGTCGATTCTGGAACTCAAATTGGATGAGCACATTGTAAGTACATATTATTTGTGGAGCCCCCCCCCCTGCAAGATCCGGATAGTTGGTATACGCTCAGTGGATTAATAATGTAAATATGGTAAATATTAAAAATAATTACAATTACGTATTTTGGATCATTTATTGCTGTGACAAAAACCAAGAAGAATGTTGCCTGGTGTTCCTTATTTCAATTTGATCACCACATTTAATCCTTTAATTTGTTCTTTTGTTCTGTGATATACTTTGTCCATCGTATGTGTCATGTGTTTGTAGCATGTTTCATGTAATCAGACATGTATAACAGTTGGTAAATAAAGACATAAGTAAACTCCAGTATTTGTGATTAAATAGTTCAACACATATGCTGGCCAAACAATTTTGGGAATCTTTTGACAAATTTTTTTCTTCTTTTTTTCTGTCACGTTCATCACCAATAACACTTTTTTTTATACAACATGGCCATATTAAGGCTTCGGTAGTGCTGAAATTGACTGGTGATGCTGGTGATTAAAACAAATGTGGTTGAATTCCTGTTCCTGGGTTTGTTTAACTTCATCGCCATACAACAGCTGCCAGCAATGCGGTCACATGTGTGATGTTGGTAATGCACTTGAAGACTCGGCATCTTGTGATAGTCATGACAAAATTGACTTAGAAAAGGGCGGAGATGATAATCCAGTTTCACAATATGTTTCAACGACGACATTTGACAGCTATTGCTGCTGGGTGGCTAAATGAGGGAAATTAGAAGAAGTTGTCCAGAGCATTAATGCAAGCCCTTTTGTATTCACAGTCTGTGTCATAGATTTCAACAAACTGCGTATCAGCTTAATGTTGGAGGAAAGCCTGAAGTGAAACCGGTCCAATGCGTCTACCTCCTTAGTGTAACGCCCAATGCTGCTGAAATGTTATCCATTTTGATTGAAGGATGAATTAGAAGGAAATTACTTTCTCTTAGTGGTGTGTAGCGTTGACGTAACACCCCCCCCCCCCCCCCCCCCCCCCCCCCCCCGATCTAAGTGCAAGCACGGCCATTGTATTCCTAGTTTGAATACCGACGCCTTAAATGTCACAAAAGCTGAAATTATTATTTGTGGTGTTAGGGGGGGGCAATAAGCTCTAACACAGTTTCAGTGAAGAAACGGCTGACTCACTATATCAAGTTCTGATAGCTATCCAAGATCAACGTTTCGAGGACTGTGAAACTTTAATCACGTCAGAGATGGCAAGGCCCCAGAAACGAATAAACAGATAGAGTCAGCAGATTCTTCCAAGGGTGGATGGGAGACGGTCCGGAGCTATGATTCCAATGAACTTGCAGATGTTTCGGACGACGACAGGAAACTAACGAGGGAAGACAATACGGCTGATCGGAAATTACGTCAGAAACGTGGAGGTCAAGCGCCGTATCCAGTCTTGGCCAGTCAGGCTATCAGCAAACTTGACCAGCTTTTTCGTGCCAGGGGCCAGAAGACAAGAGCATGTTTTTCATGCGGTGACGACTCACTTCAGAAGAGACTGTCACAAAAACAACAACGCCTCACACGCGTCAGGTGCAGCTGTGAAGCAGATTCTACTCAGTTCAGGTTTCGTTCCTAAAGTAGAAAAATCCCTTTGGGTGCCTTCTCAGTCAACGGACTGGTCAGGTTTCAGGATTGTTACAACATCTGTAGTCATGGATGTTCCAGACAGGAACAAGAATACGGTATTGAAGTAAGTATATGTTTTGGAAGCAGATAAATGTAAATTAGCGAATTATGTGGTTAAGAAGGAGCCAATTTGTGTTGCAATTCTTGAGAGGTTGTAGGGTTGAAGAATTGTAAACTCATTTTTGTCTGATTTGAGAATACAAGCTAATGTCCTTCTTGGCTTATGCTGAAGTTTTACTAATTTCTGAAGTGATTATATGTTTGTTTGTTTGTTGTTTAACGCCGCACTCAGCAATAGTCCAGATATATGACGGCGGTCTGTAAATAATCGAGTCCGGACCAGACAATCCAGTTATTGACATCATGCGCATCGATCGAAAAATTGGGATACGATGACATGCATCAACCAAGCCAGAAGACCTGCTGAAGACCTGTTCTAATCCGGGATATTCACGGGATGCTGAACTGATTACAATTTCTCATCAGGATATTGTATTTTATAAATCACACATGAATGTTTTTATTGACAAATCTAAAACTGGTGTATACAGAGACGGAGCGTGGCTTGTTATAAGAAGAACGCAATTGAAAATTGTGTCCAGTTGAATGTTTGGAAACCTTGCATGCATTCCGGGACATTCTGATCATTTCATTTTCAGAATTCTCAGCAAATGTATGTCTGGTTGTCTTAATATAAGAAAAGGCAACATCCCCATGGCTTACACTAGACTGAGGGAACTTTTCCTGGATGCATTGTCTCCCTTTGTAACGAACACTATATTAAAAGTCATAGTCTGCACAGTCTACGTAGTGGTGGTGCCACAACGGCACACAAGACCGTCAATCGTGACCGAAACTCGTGCCCCTCTCGTGGCCATTTTTGCGACTGGGTTCCGCCTAAGCGCAAAAGGGCATAGCTAAAAGAATTGTCAACTCGTTGCGTAACGATTGTCGTATATCTCCCCCATGTATGGCATATATTCCAGATGCTATTTAAAACACATCGGGACTTGCGGTATTATACAGTATGGTGGAACACATTTAACTGTATATGTGCAGTCATACAATGGTGTGATGATGCTCTTGGTTATAAATACCTGTTTACCTCGGGTGGCAACAAAGTTAATTTGTGATAAAAGATTGTAGGATGCCACGTGTGTGATCTGATGCATGCATCACCAAATGCATGTTTGTTAACACATTTGCGATAATACACACCTCGGTCGTGCAACGCTCAGCGTGCCAAACCTATTTATATGAGAAAAGGCAGTGATCAGGGCCCATTGAACGCCCAAAGGAGGAGGGGGGATTTTGCCCGTTCCATCATGTTCGTAGTGACGAGAAGTTACACGTATATATCAACTTCCTTGTCTCGATAGTTGGGGGCTCCGGACCTGTCCTGCCCTGTCCAACCCTGTAATGGCCTTCAAAACCATGTGAATATTACATACTTTTTGCAACTTAGATAATAGTCAAGTGCCTGCATTACTGAACAGAAACTTCCTTGTCAGCCACACTCTATCCATTGCACGATGACTGTACCCTGTGCACTCAGAAGGAAAGGTAGCTTATATATTGACTATTAGGTCAAAACAGTTTAAGCTGATAAACTATTCAGCAACGCTTTGGGTAACAAAGAAAGTAGGTGATATGTGCAACTTAAAGTTAACTCCAGGGGTTATCAAAAAGCCCACTGCATACTCTATTTCTGGACCCGTGAAGATCTGGGTTAGAATACGTCTTCAGCAACTAACGGGATCAGGTGACCAGGCTCGGTGACTTAGTTGATAAATATCATGGTATCCCAAATGCGTAGAGGTCAATAACTAGATTGTTTGGTCCAGACTTGATTATTTACAGACTTCCGTAGAATGTGGAACATTTCTGACCCCAATAACCAGACTAATAAACATTGATCACAATGACATAATTGTGGTAGGTTAATAATTACTTTAAATTTAAAACGAAATGCAAAATTAAAATTCCTAAAACATTTGCTTGTTTGTTGTTTAACACAGCATATGGCTAAGGCATTTAAATAATTGAGGATCAGACAAACAAGCGATAGATCTTATGAGCAGCATCCGATGAATGTTGCCTTCCGGATTCAAAAGATTTCACTTAATTAACATGCAACAAGTTTCTTAAAAGGGATGCAAATAGAAGAAAGTAATATACTCCAAAAGCCATATCTTTACAAGCAACCTTTACAGTGACTAACTTCATCGGTGTGACCAACAGAAACAAGACAGACAACTTTGTACTGTGATAATTTATTCATGACCACACAAGTGACAAAGAACAATGCATATAATAGTTTGTCCTAAGCCTCCTGAGCCATGTGTTGCATCCACTGTTATGATGCACCAGAGCAACACAGCCTTGACCCTGGCAATGCTCATTATCCTGATTTCCAGTCAACCTTATTTTAACTTGCCCTCACAATTGTTTCCATGGTAGTAGAACTTGTTTCAGAGAGTGATCTAACATTGGTTGCAACACAAGCAAAATTGCACCAAGAAATTGTCAAAACATTACAAAGATTAAACTTGCTTCATGGTTACCAACAAATAAATGAGCATAGTATTCATTATATTTCAAAATATAGGATCTTGTTACAGTGAAGTTGTGAATTTCAATTCGCAAATACCTCTCTCATCTGAAGAGTTAGCATCCTGAACGGATGTGTTATGTGAACAAAGCCACTCCGAGATACCAAAAGTCAACCTTGACTTTGTATGTTTATAATCTGCATGTAATGAAATCTCTGTATCCTGTGTGCAGACATTGACGTGCCCTGTTAGTTCTCCTCCATGTCCTCATCATCATCCTCCACGATCACCTCCACCAGCTTCTTCTCCTTCTGTGCCAACCGAGCTGCAACAGACCAGCATCTCACAGTCAGTCATCATACAACCCTGCTTGTGTTTTTAACACCTCACTCCACAATATGACAACTTGTGAATAATTGAGTCAGTAGGAGACAAACAGTAATTGATATTGTGAGCAAGGTACCACACAGTCAAGGTACAGTGGCCCCAATCCAAGTCTCCCAGTCTGACCAGCTGATCCATCTCTTACAAAAAGCACAGGTTGTTGGGGGTCTATTCTAACATGGAATGGTCACACAGAGAATCACATACTGTATTCCACTTAATAAGCGCCCAGGGCGCTCTCAAAATTAGAAAAAGTGGGCTCTTATTAGAATATTAATTTTGTGGAAAAAAAACAGTTGAAAGATCGTAAATGTCGTGGTTTATGCTGACAGCCTGAAATGTTTATATACGACAGATATATTTTTCCAGAATTTAATTGCCCATAATTAAGGGTGGATTAACACACACGGGTACCAACACACAAGTGCGTATTATCCGCGAATAAATAAGTCTTGTGTACATCGATAAATCGGAAGGGGTGCTAATTGGGATTGATCACTAGCCAATATATTAGCAAATATCGCCGTGGGCGCTTATTAGAGCGGGGCGCTTATTACGTCGAATACGGTAATCTATAAAGTAGGAAGTCATTCTCCCAGGTATACAGTGCAGGGTTCGAATTAAACTCAAAAGCTTCACTAGCTCAGGTAAAGTGATAACACCCTTGTTAGATGAAAACAATGGGGAAATTAGGTTGTTTGTATAAGCCCGCGGCTAGTGGACTAGTGTTAAGTTCTAACCCTGATATAGTGACAGGAAACAAAGGAAGCCTATGACTGACAAGCCATCACGTTTGAAGCCTGATTTGGATCGCTTCCTGGTGAAGTAGTGACCCATCAAAGATATCATAATTTCATCTCGCCTTGTTCATATGAAGCATCTATTATTAAAGAAATCAGCAAACTTTCTTCAACACTAATTCTGTATTTGCTTATTTTGTTCAATCAGTATACGATTCAATGATCGGTTTTCCCACTTTTAACATACACATTTAAATTCTCAGCAAACTTATGATTTATTTCACAACCTATAAATGTGTTTCATTGAAATTATGTCATTCAACACTATTGAAAAAATATGTACCTTTAAACAGTTGCAAGTGAACTATATCTGAAAATGGATGTATTCAGCTTCCACTTATCTTACAGAGTTATGCCCCTTTAACAGATTTGTTTTTAAATAAGCATGAGCCAGATGTCATACAGTTAACTTGGCTGTCTCCCATAGCCACTGACAGGGCTTCTCAACAGATTAATAACTACCCAGTCACCAATTTCCGCTGTAAGGTCTTCTGTAGAGTTATGTAACTACCCCCGTACCAATACCCACAGAGCATGCAGAGAGGTCTGCTTGAGAGATACATAACTACCCTGCCACTGTGGTTTGCTGTAAAGATAGTAAAGATACGTAACTACTCTAACACTGAGAAGTCTCCTCCAAAGATATCAGATGCAGAGATACAGAACTATCCTGCCATTGAAAGACTGATGCAGATACAGAACTATCCTGTTACTGAGTGAGTGAGTGAGTGAGTATGGTTTTACGCCGCTTTTAGCAATATTCCAGCAATATCACGGCGGGGGACACCAAAAATGGGCTTCACACATTGTACCCATGTCGGGAATCGAACCCGGGTCTTCGGCGTGACGAGCGGACGCTTTAACCACTAGGCTACCCGACCGCCCCTATCCTGTTACTGAGAGATTGATGTAGAGATACAGAACTATCCTGTTACTGAGAGATTGATGTAGAGATACAGAACTATCCTGTTACTGAGAGATTGATGTAGATACAGAACTATCGTGCCACCGAGATATTGATGTAGATACACAACTATCCTGTTACTGAGAGATTGATGTAGATACAGAACTATCCTGTTACTGAAAGATTGATGTAGATACAGAACTATCCTGTTACTGAGGGACCAGCTGTAGAGATACAGAACTATCCTGTCACTGAGGGACCAGCTGTAGAGATACAGAACTATCCTGTCACTGAGGGACCAGCTGTAGAGATACAGAACTATCCTGTCACTGAGGGACCAGCTGTAGAGATACAGAACTATCCTGTCACTGAGGGACCAGCTGTAGAGATACAGAACTATCCTGTCACTGAGGGACCAGCTGTAGAGATACAGAACAATCCTGTCACTGAGGGACCAGTTGTAGAGATACAGAACTATCCTGTCACTGAGGGACCAGCTGTAGAGATACAGAACTATCCTGTCACTGAGGGACCAGCTGTAGAGATACAGAACTATCCTGTCACTGAGGGACCAGATTTAGAGATACAGAACAATCCTGTCACTGAGGGACCAGCTGTAGAGATACAGAACTATCCTGTCACTGAGGGATCAGCTATAGAGATACAGAACTAACCTGCCACTGAGAGATCAGCTGTAGAGATACAGAACTATCCTGCCACTGAGGGACCAGCTGTAGAGATACAGAACTATCCTGTCACTGAGGGACTAGCTGTAGAGATACAGAACTATCCTGTCACTGAGGGATCAGCTATAGAGATACAGAACTAACCTGCCACTGAGGGACCAGCTATAGAGATACAGAACTAACCTGCCACTGAGAGATCAGCTGTAGAGATACAGAACTAACCTGCCACTGAGGGATCAGCTATAGAGATACAGAACTATCCTGTCACTGAGGGATCAGCTATAGAGATACAGAACTAACCTGCCACTGAGAGATCAGCTGTAGAGATACAGAACTATTCTGCCACTGAGATCCCAAACTTCCCTGCTTCCCATGCCCAGTGAGAAGTCTGCTATATACATACCTGCTGGTGACTTAATAAGATGGATATTCTTCTCAACCTCCTTGATGTCGGCCTCCTTCCTTAGCTCCTTACCCTTCTTTAACCTACAAACACAAAAATACATAAGAAACAATCGCACCGAAAACAAACTCTTGTGAACTAATAATTCATCAAAACACTTTGAAACATGATGTGCTCCACAATGTGATGAAACCAGGGGTCTGGAAACGGGTCATATGCGCCGGACATGTCCGATTGGGAATCTCAAATGTCCGGTTTAAAATATTGCATACCGGGATTTAAATTTTTCTGTCCGCACATTTTAAAAAACAAACAACGCTACCTTCAGGGTAAAAATAATTGATGAGCGTTATCGTATCCCTTCAGCGAATTCAGGTGAATAAACAGGTATAACAAACTTGGTCAATAAAAGTATGAAATTTGACATAAAACATCACTAGTTATGATGATTTACCAATTAAAATGTATTTCCTGCTCTCCAAGGCATTGTTTTATATGCAGAGATTAAGATTGCCATGTGTATTTTCTCGTAAAATAAGCCAGATGCAATCAGCTGTGCACACGTTTCCTCCCAATCTACCGGTGATTCAGTTAAAACGTACCCAATGATACAACTTCAAAGAATTTTGATGCAATGGTCGGAAGAAAATGTATCTGAAATTATTATTTTATCAGGAAATATATATTCCAATATCGTGTTATTTTAGTTGCAGTTTCCACCACATATACTTAAAATTATAAGAACCATAAGCGTAGCACTTGATACAGATGGTATGCAGGATATTTTTTGACGTATGTAACGATTTTGACCAGTCATCGTATGGACTTCCCGCGCTACATGTATTTCGACTGCGAAAACGTTATGTTGACATTTAATAGTCAAACTGCCTCAAATATGACTTTTAGCGAGTCATGGTACGGCATTTATGATATGTGTATCCATTCTCTTGCAACAAAAGTTCGTTTCAAGGCGTCAATAGTGGTAATCTGATCGTGGTTGCTGTAAAAAACGGTGAGTTGTGCGATCTACCGATCACTTCGCATACGATTTCGTCGAGATTATTGAAAACTTCATTGTAATTATTGAATGAAATATTGAATAAAATTAATCAAATATATTGCAAACTCTAGTCCAGATAAACAATGAACAAATTTTTTTATCACCAGATATTATAATGATAGGATTAAATTGCGTACTTCAGTTCAGATTTGTTGACTGGTATTTCCGGTGTTACGTGATCGCAGTGATCAGTTGATAACGTTTTCTGAGATGGGGGAAAACATTGTGTCATTGGAAAACTTGGGTTTGTTAAAAATGTTAGTAAATTTTGGGAGCTATGCTTTACTGCGCGCTATAACCGAAGCGCGCAATAACGAGGGAACACTGTACGTAACAACTTGTAATGTGTGTGAAAAGTCGTGCAAAAATACGCTATTTGAAGGGGACGTGGCCTAAATGCAAATGTCCGATTGGGATTTTAAATTTTCCGGACCCCTGGATGAAACACATGCATTTTTCCTATCATTAATGCATCATTCTAAATATCCTAATCTACTATTACAGGTTACTGAAATATAAAATTACGAAACATTAGCAGTCAAGTCTCCTTAATCGGTAAAACGGCTTTATCAAACACTAATGATGGGAGCCGGTCAAATCAGTGCTCTTTAGACCTGTTAATCTGACCGCCTTGCACTCTGACACACCTAATTTGCAACGAATTACCGAAATAACTCATTAATCAGTCTCGTTACTTAATCCAACAGTGATCACCGTCGCCATGGTCATCTGCCCCTTATCTACAGTGTAGTTGTCCGATTTTCAATCACGAACGCTGATACTACAAAATTGTTTATCTGATATGCTAGTTAATCCGACATAATTTTATACAACCGACCATGTTGGATAATGAGACTTGACTGTATGTACTCTGTTAGTTGTCTCATGCTGCAGGCAGCTATACTCAAACTGTACTATGGCCAGTAAATAATCGTGTCTGGACCAGTCAAATCAGAATTGATATTATCAGCCACGTCTCACACGATTGAGGTACGAGAACCCTTATCCATCCAAGCCAAGCCTCGTCTCACACCATTGAGGTATGATAACCCTCATCCACCTGAGTCACAGCGTGTGACCCCTCAGACCAATCTCGCACCACTTACATCAACCAATACAAAAATCAGATTTAGCATTTTGATTAATAGGCAAAAATGTAGCGCTAACCTAAATAGTTATCAGACTGGTTGATTGAATTGCTGAATTGAGTACTTTTGAACTGACACATGAATTGAGACAAGGCCAAGCATATAATGTATCATATTGTGATGTGTTCACTTTGCAATGCATCTATATCCATCGGTGATAAGTGACACCCCAAGTTCCTGTCTGTACTACTGTCATCTTGTCAAGACAGACATGAGACATATAACTATTGTATCTCCCTGTTTCGTTACAATCTGAATCTGGGTTATCATTCTGAGAAACATAGCAATCACTGGTGGTAAAGAAAAACATAAGTCATTATTTAAACAGACCGAATGCACCTGTTCACAAACTTACAATTGGTCAGCTTACATATGTGCTATGTTATTCTAAATGTTCTTGTCACATCGTTCTGATGACACTCATGTCAGTGGCAAAGTTTGCTTTTCCCTTATCCTCATTATTAACAATGATTATTATTATGATTAAGAACAAAGAAAGAATGTTTTAAAAAAAAACATCTGAAGCATATTCCAGCAATATCACAGGAGGGGACACCAGAAATGGGCTTCAGACAGTGTACCCATGAAGGGAATCAAACATGGGTCTTTTGCGTGACAAGCAATCACTTAAACCATCAGACCCCACTGTCCCTCCCCCATCTGGAACACTAAGAGATGCAACTTACCTGTTTTTAACAAACTGTCTCTCCCTTCGTGACCTGATCTCCCCAATTCGCTGCATGGCTCTCACTGGAGTAAACAGTACATGCAAGAAATAAACAGTTGCTTCAAGTCTAATAGTCTGATAGTCAAAAATCAGAAGTAAAATTCATTTTAGTCAAGAAAGTGCAGCTTACATAAGCAACAAAAGCCTACAAAGTCAAAGTTTATGAAATGAACATGGTATGTGGTTTGACAGTTTGATCAGACTCACATCACCCACATGTCAAAGGCTGTGGCAGATGCTGATGTGGCATTTTATCATTAAACAATCTTTAACAGCTTACTTTGCTAAATATTGATAAAAAGTAAAATACATGTGCATGTACTTGGCTCCAGTTGGTGGTGTTATAGTTTAAGGGCTGCAAGTATTCAGTAGGCAGATGGACATGAATTATCTCCCTTTGATTGCCATGGCTGCTGAATGGCCGTTGAACAAAAATCATCCTCAATTATCCAGCTTACTGTACATGCATCTCCGTATAGGAGATAAACCTGTTTTAAAATTTGAGGTAGTCTTAACTGTAGCTTAGATACCTCTTACTTAAATTTAGAACAAAGTGCTTCAGCACAGAGAAATTAGTTGTAAGCAAGGTACCGGTGTATGTGGCTACTTCTTCTACATTACACACAGACTATAGTTTATTTTTGGGGGGTTCAGTTTGTTGTTTAACGCCGCACTCAGCAATATTCAAGCTATATGATGGTGGTCTGCAAATAATCGAGTCCGGACCAGACAATCCAGTGATTGATATCATTAGCATCGATCCACGTAATTGGGATCATTGACATGCTTCAACCAAGTCAGCGAGCCTGACCACCAAATCCTGTTAGTCACCTCTTACGACAAGCCTAGTCGCCTTTTCAGCAAGCACTGGTTGCTGAAGACCCTATAGTTTATTAACCTATGCTGGGTTTAGGGTGAAGATTGCTTTGATGATGTTGCTATATGGCTGCGTGATGGTGTGATGTTAAATTCACTTACTCACTCTTTCATTCTACTTGACAGCCACAGATAATTCCGGTTTGAAGTTAATTTGACAATAACATTGACATTATCTTGTAAAACCCAGGTATACATGAAAGGTGCTAAAAGATCCAAGGATCACTGTCAGGTCAAATCTAAATCCGAACCCTGCATTCCTGGCTTGGCCAGAGCACCCTTGTGAGTGAGTGAGATTTTACGCCGCTTTTAGCAATATTCCAGCAATATGACGGCGGGGGACACCAGAAATGGGCTTCACACATTGTACCCATGTCGGGAATCGAACCTGGGTCTTTGGTGTGATGAGCGAACGCTTTAACCACTAGGCTACCCGACCGCCCCTGAGCACACCTGTGACCAATTGGCCCATTGCCCTCCAGTGTTAGAGTAATAGCTCACCTGTGTTTTGCCAAAGTTCTCGGTCATATTTAACAGGAACATTTCGTCTCTTTTCAAACTCCAATGACGGGTCGATTGTAAGCTCTTTGCCATGCGCCTTCCTGAATGCCTTAGTCCATGGAGCTTTTCTGGGGTTTCTCTTCTTCTGAAATGCTTTGTGACATTTTGATCGACAGAATCTAAAAACCTGAAAACACAAGAATTAATTCATTAAATGGACATGTGTCTAACTGGTCTTCACGCCGTTAAAGTGTAGGATTAAGAAGGGAAATCTGATAAAGTCTGAGATACAAAAATTCTATCTCTTATCAAATCCTCAAAACAAATGATTCTCAAACCTTCCAAGTAAACTGTCAGCAGCCAAGGTAAGTATTGGAGACCTATGCAAGGTTTGTTGAAACAGTTTTCATAACAAGAGACATCCCTGTCCCTTAGATATGTTTAACTTTGAAATTCATTTGGTGAACATTATGTACTGGTTGAGCACTGCTACACATGCACTTTTCCATCTTCCGTAGGTAATGTTAACTGACAATAAAAGTCATGTTTCCACCCTTGCCAGCCTCAGCTGTAATTTCATTTATATTTTGGCTGGATGAACGAATCTATGCATAGTCCAATCAAAATCGCACAATGAAATGAACATCATCTTCATAAATAACATGGTGAATGCCGTGCAGATTTCGGTGCAAGTGATATGAGAGGTGGAATCTGACTGGTCAATAACTTAATATGAGGGACATAACCTGTAATAGCCACTGGTGGCACTAGGATTGAGCCTTGAAATTCCAGCCTAGCTTGGCAATGTTGGTAACTGGACTTTTATGGTCATTTAATCTCCTTGCCTCGGGAAGATGGAAGCAGATAATTGTATCAGATTCAGTCTGCTACTTTAGCCACAATTTTTTTCACTTTTGGTGAAACCCACAAACACGGGGTATGGTGCTGACACACCCAAAAATATAATCAGGCAAAACAGGGATGCGAACCCACAATCATAGGTTTCTTGCGTGCCCAAAGATGAAAAGCGTACATTTTGACCAATGATGCAATATATTCTTAGTAATCTTACCCCTCACTTCTGAAAGAGACCACTATTTTATCACATCACATAGGCTTCCTTCCACACACCGTAAATTGGTCTACAGGATTCTGTTTAGGTTAACCAAACAATCGGATTCAAGTATTCTCTAAAGTTGATTTCAGTGACATAACTCGCACCCATTAGCCATATTATTGTTGACTTCATGCACATGCCAAATGGTATCATTATCCAGTTGCCCCAGCTGCTAAATGAATGGCAAATAAAAGAGTAACTGCATCTAGCATGGTAGCCAGTTTCAAAAAAAATTATTTTTCAATAATTCTATTCCATTAAGCACACTCACGCCATCCCATTGACAATGGTCAAGTGTTAAGTCAAAACTGTTGATATTCAGTTTGACCTGGCATTTTTACACAGTGTGATCGTCAGTTATGAGTCATGTCGATTGAATCATCTACCTATGCTGCAAGTGTGAACACAAGTGTCAGTGAATGTACATATGATGGTTAAATGAAGGCAAAGTTTGTCATTTTATTGGCTGGGGGTGTGTGCATTGTACAAATTTCATAATACTGGAATATTATATTAAATTAACTAATCTGATTTTGCCAGACACTGACAGGGTAGTGTTATTTAGGCCTACCTTTAGAATTCAGTACCACAAACTTTTCAAACAAGTGATCATACCCTATGACGTAATTTGTAGTATTTTGTTGCCAGTCACACCGGCGAAACAATGCCCTGTGACGTCAGGGGTCATCGAGTGTGCATAAGCTCCTCCCAGTGAGCTATCATCTCTACACGCAATGTCATTGAATACGCCCTGCGGTGTTGAGTATTTGTTTACTAATTATAGCCTGCAGCCGCGCATTTTAGAGCAAGCGCTAGTTTACGAAAGCACTTTTATTTTTTATATATTTTTTATATCGTTTTTCTCGTAATTCAAGTGGATAAAATGGTTATAAATGGGAACTAATATACATATATTATTTTTTCGGTTCATTAATTTTCATTATTATGCACAAGAATGCAGTTTATTAGGGATATTATATTGGCGCTGAACACATCCAAATGTCGCCAGTGGTAGATTACCCCGAACTCTATCCTTAGCCCTTGGATACCCTTTACGATAAATCACCCCTTTACGATCATTAGGGTTAGCATGGTTAGGTACCCGTTTAGTGGCTATTAGATTACCCGAAGTCTATCCTAATCCCTTGGATCCCCTTTACGATCAATCACCCCTTTACGATCATTAGGGTTAGGTACTCGTTTAGTGGTTATTATAGATTATATAACGGCTCCTAATATTCTTCACACAAAAATGTCGAGTACAAAGGATGAAATGGTTTTGTATCGAATAATTTGGCAACTGGAAACTGTCCTGGAACGTTCACACAAGCCACTTTCACCGGCTACATTTTTTCATGACTGATTCAAAAGCGAACTCACCGTTGTGTCGTCACTAGTCATGCTTATTCCTCCCTCGTTCCTTACTGTTATCCACATCATCCTTACAGTGTTCCCTACCACACTTTTCTGCTCAAAAATCCCCCGACGAATTATAAAATACCATATCATTCATGCGTACTCGCAAGTTCGACGTCTGACGCCCTCTTCAGTTCACAGCATATCAGCTCATTCCTCTCCACTCGGTATCTTGTACATTAGGGAATGGGATGAGTGTGCCTAATGGCATCGGGATCATTCGTAAGTGTCCGTAGACTAAAGTCACGAGACACCATGCCTACCCGTAACCTTCGTAAGTGTCTGTCACCTATTCGACCCTTTTCGTTCAGTTCCGTAACGTCATAGGCATGACTAGGTAAATTTACGCCAAGTTAAATAGTGTGGACGTAGCTCAGTCGGTTAGCCGTCAGGCTAACAATCCGAAGGTCGTGGGTTCGCGTCCGACGGATTCTCACAAAAACTGGTTGCTTGTCTTGAGACATGTGACCTACGGCAGAGATCGTCCTCACGAGAAGTTGTGGTACTGTATTCTAAAGGTGCTCCTGTTATTTATGGTGGGTTTACCTGTCATGAGTAAAACTTTTGTGAGTTCTGCACTTCATCAGACGAACGGGTGAACTGCACTCTGGAAGGCTGGGACGGGTAACTCGGGTACCCGGGTCGGGTGGGTACTGAGTAGGACCCGGGTACCCACAGGACTACCCGCACCCCTGGTTAATCGAGTGATATATTGTTTAATGATAAAAATTGTCTAGAACTCTATGGTTACACTACAAGTCACTAATGTTCGCATTTCTTTGTGACTATGCACCCATTCCTTCTGATTTTTCATATGGTTGAATAAAGATATAACTTAATTCAACTTCAGTGTATGAATGACATGTGTATGAATGACATGTATCTAAATACATGTATCTAAATACGTTTTGCCAGGGCTATACTAAAAATGTTTCCATTCGGACATTTTCAGCCATCTCCTGAGGACTACCGGACAGGGTCGGGTAATAGGGGGATGGGTAGAGTGGATTACGTAACAGAATAAACAAAAACAGGTAGTATCACAACACAGGCTGCTGAAACACCGGACTTATATATTGTCTATTCATAAATGGGTCCGTTGTTTCAGTAACATCTTTTTCCTGCTTCAGGGGCCTTCTGTTTTCCTTCACAAGCCGATCTGCCCGACTTCATACAAGCGTAAATATTTCATGACATCTGACATTCTCGGACTTCATCCCGTGTCTGGAGTTACAAACCTTACAATCGTTCCTCACAAACTGTATTCCGTGACCGGGATACACAGTAGATGAGCAGTAATAACACTTTTCAAGACGCATCTTGACGTTCACAACCCCTCGTGTTGCGTGTGTTGATGTAAAGGAAAGTCTCGGGGTGAAGGAGAATCTCTCTTCTGATTGGATAAAACTTGAATATTTGGCAAAGAAGAGTTACCTACCTTGACTATTGAGTTGAACGCGGTGGGATTGTAAGGGGTGTATGACAATCGCAACCCTATGCAGTAAGCAATGAATTACACTATAATTATAAAATATTAACTTAGACTTAGATGTAAACAACATATAATGTAAATGCATAGGGGCGATTTGTTATTTGAAGAAGAACAACATTCGGGGTTTATCTGTTGACCGAAGCTAGTCTAAAAAACAACAATAAACGTCTGGACCAGACTATGCTGTGATTGAGCATCGTTTGTTGTTTTACTGCGATGTGTTGTGTCGATGATAGTTCTATGTATGTGAATGTTGTCGTGAATGTTAAAGAGAATTTCTTGTTGACTTGATGAATGTGAATGCAATGATGGCGTGGATATAAATTTGCTTTGAATATGAAATCTCAACAGCGTGTGTTTTCTCCTCTATCCCTATGCGTAGAATGTAGGGCTGGGGCGAGTCCTAATTTACCACCCGGGTTCCCACCCCCCTATTACCCGACCCTACCCGGGTACCCGCTGTAGATCTCAAGAGGTAGGTACAAACTGTCCGATTGGGAAAATTGTGACCGTAGCTCTGGTAAAATGTGATTAGATACATATGTATGAAACGATCTGGGCCCACTTGCACAAAGCGATCTTAGCGCTAAGACTATTGTAAGCGTATGTTAAAGTATGGGCGTTACGATCATCTTAGCGCTAAGATAGCTTTGCGCAAGTGGGCCCTGGTGTATACACTGACGTTGACTGAAGGTTTTTTTAAACATATAAAAGTCAGAAGGAATGGGCGTAGTAGTCAGAAAGAAATGAGAACATAAGTGACTTGTAGTTTAAACATAGAGTTTTAGAAAATTGTTTGTCATTAAACAATATATCACGTGACTATAACCACGGGTCCGGGTAGTCATGTGGGTACCCGGGTCCTACTCAGTACCCACCCGATCCGAGTACCCAGGTTAATTACCCGTCCCAGACCTAGAAGAATGGACTGCTCCACTGTGACATCACACGATTCGTTACAGAAAAAAATAATCGCGATAAACATGGTCGTTTGAAAAGTAAACATATAATCCAACGACAATAAATTGTCTTATAAACGAAAGTGTCTTATTTTTAGGGGTACACTTTTTCTTGGGGTACGTCATTTCTAGGGGTACGAAGCCTGACAATATGAAATAATAATAATCGCTGCCCCTCTCTCAAATGTGACGAACTACTAACTAATCAGCCGTAGCTATTTTTAGAAATTCTTATTATTATTTATGTAGTGGAAAGGCCCCAGTAAGATCAAATTAAAAAGTATTATTTTCAAAGTCAATGTGATGGGTTATCTGAAAGCACAACACCCGATCATGGGGTACTATTAAGGCTGTGTACTGTCAGTAGTCATGCCTATATGGCAACCATGCCTGCTGGTGTGTACTTCAAACCCGTTAAGATCCCCTTGATAGACACCTACGATGTAATCAGATAACTCAACAAGCATACGCAAGGGATACATGTCGACATGACCTGACAATATTATTTAGTTTTTGTAGTTGTGACAAAATATATACAAATTACGTAAACAACGAACCAAAATGCATGTAATATTTGTAAACATTTGACGTCACACAGTAGATTATGATGTTCCGTTATACCAGGGATTTAACAGAAGTTTCCTTATCTAACTGTGGATGCAAACACGTGCACATACTTGTCGGAACACATTTTGATTACACCCCGTTGGTTATATCCCGCTGATAGCCGAAGTACATTGGACACACAGTCATACCATACCAGTACTTGTGTTGTAATGTCACATTAGAATAATGCAGCGAACACAAAACAGCAGGCGACGTGATGACAGACCATGTTGTCGCTGGACGTTGTCGCTGCTGCACATCTTCACGTGTTTTGTGGCGGGATTCTGCATCCTCAGCGTTCTGATAATGCGGGGACGTGAGGCAAAGTGTTTACCTCCAATAACAGACCAGAATGGAAAAGTGCTTCATTACGTAAGTCTACCAGTCTATCCCCCACCCCCAACGCAATCACACACTTCCCCAACGCACTCACTCAGCCCCTAACGCACTCACCCAACCCAACGCAATCACTCACTTCCCCAACGCACTCACTCAGTCCCTAACGCACTCACCCACCCCACCCACCTCACTTACTCACTAACACATCCTTTGTAATTTATTTGTTGTTCCCAGGACTCGCAAATATACTACTCAAAGTTAACTAAGGACCCCACTTTAAAAGGGAATACGTCAAACTGTGTGTAACTATGGAGGCATGTTTAATGAACAAAAGACCCTTGCCATGTGCCACAAAAGGCACACAAGCACACATGTGAGCAATACTCAGTCAGATCATCCGTCAAAATGAGAATATTTGACCAAAACTGAACCACCAAAAATCACGAAAACAAGTTCATTGCCCCTAAAAATAAATCTCAGCAGCGGGTATATGTGATCCACGAGATCGATGCGACCACAGCCTGGCACCGTCGTCTCATGCTCCCAATAAGTGTTTGGGTGGTTGCCAAGGGAAGATTGTTCCACTCTTCAGTCAGAGCATTGTCGACTTCCTTTAGAGTAGGCAAGTCCGTCGTGAAAGGTCAGTCTGTAGCTTGTTCCACATATGTTCCATAGGGTTAAGGTCTGGTGAGCGTGCTGGCCACTCCATGCGGGTAATCATCTGCTCTAAGTAGGCATCTACGACCCTGGCACGATAGGGGTCATGTCCGGTCCGTTGCACCAGCATACGGTCTCACGTACACGCCCAGAATGTCATCCCTGCAGCGCACACCTGTCATTGTACCCCGCTGAAAGACTAGAAGATCGTTTCTTCCAGCTCTACCGATTCCACCCCAAATCAGTATTGAGCCCCTTCCAGAGCGGTCATAGCGATATTTGAATCCTGAAATCTTTCTTCTTGTCTACGCCAAGTCGGGCACGGCGACCTTTGAAGTCTAAACAGTATCTCGATACATTAGTGAAAAGTACTGGAGCCCAGTCCTGGTCTGTCCAATTGACGTGATCTTCAGCCCAATCCAAACGGGCCTGCCTGTGATGTCGGGTCAGTGGGTTGCGAATTCATGCCCTCCGTGACCGGAGACCAGTCTTACGGAGACGATTACGCTCTTTTTGAGGAGAAACGTATACGCCACTGGCATTCTGCAGGTCATTTCTAAGTGTGATGGCAGTCATGCCGTGATGGCGTCTCGCTGTAATCACTAGAAACCTGACTCCCCGCTGTGTGGTGGAACGCTGGCGATCACCTACATGTCGCTGGGTAGCCCGGTACCGATTCCATGCTCTGCTGATCACACTTTGACTGACACCAAAGACGTTTGCAACTTGACGTTGTGTTGACCAGTTTCAAGCATGCTTATGCATCTGTTTAATTTTTCGGTCGTCAGACGACGTCTTTGACGCTGGGGGGGCATCAGTACATATAGATGTTGCAATCCTCACCAGAAAATGTTGTGCTCTCGGATAATGATGTGCAACGATTCTGTCACGACACATACAAACACAGGTTTTCAAGCACCCCGTGCACATCGTGCCCGACACTGCATGCATCTGTCCGTTCATCGTGAGATTGGGGTCCTATAGGGGTTACCCAATCATTGTGCACCGGTATATTTCAATCCTTAGTTGTTGGATATCATCAAAACTTGATCCTTAGCAATCGTTGAGTAGTTTATATATATATAAAGAAAAATACCTGCCCAACATTTCTCAAAAAGGAAACGACTCAAGTTAATTCTAGGCCGTCTCTTATTCAATACCCGGTTGACAACTGTGGATGTAAAAGCTAGTTTCTATTTTTTTTTAGACACATCAAGCACAACACAAGCTGTAAGGTGTATGTGTCACCTTGTTAATCCAGTCGTCCTATTCATTTAAGAACGTTGGCGCCAACTTCCAAAGAACGCCACAAGCCATTCCTGAAATTGTCCCCAAACAGGCAGGAAGTCCGGCAGATTGTTTAGAGGTATCAATTGTTGATTTGTATTTTCTCCAGACTGACGCCATCCTTAACGCGTTCTGCGACCTTGTCCTGTACGCTTGTGGTGTCTTGTCGGTGTGGAACATCGTGTCCTTGTTCATCCACTGCTGCACGGAAAACAAACTGTGAGTGTGTTGCGAAGCGTGAAATCACGCGAGTAGTGAGTTGGGTTTAACGTCACATTGAACAGTATGCAATGATATCGCGGCGTGTCCGCTTGATGTTGCTGAAAGTCCGAAATGATGCAGGTCTTAGACGTTTAAACCTTTGTGAAACCCACGAGCATGGATATGGTGCTGACAATCCTAGAAACATAATCTAACAGGGACTCACACCCTCGGTTATAGTTTTTTGGCACGCCTAAAGAATGCGTAAATCCCACAACAGAGTTGCGACGCCGTATGCGACATGCCCTAAATCACAAAGTAAGTCACTTCAGACAAAAAGGTACATTTTCATAATGAAATACAAATTCATGTAAACGTCTCTCAATCGTATAAATAAAGTATCTTCTTTAACAGTCCACATTCTAAAATACATCTTGCTTGTCATGGCTTCCGTGGTCCGCTTCTGGAGCCTCTCATGGATAGTTGTTTGGACCATACTACCGATAAGAATATAACAGCTGATAAAATGAGAGTGAAAGGGTAATGACGATATATGTCTGTAAACTTAATTTCCGCCGTGTAGATATGTATCTGGTGTGTCCACCATGTTGGGCGATACGCGCACGACACCTTGATGGCATACTGTTGATGAAATTGCATATGGTTGCCCTTGGTATTGTCCGCCATTCCGCCCGAAGAGTATGTTAAGCTGCGCCACGTTGGCGGGTCTCTGGCGTACATTCCACAGATTGGCGACTTGTCAGGGACACTTAACGGGCCAGTACTGTGTCCATATGCTTTCTCGTCGGCGATAATCGGTGATGATCTCGGAACGATGTTGTCTGGCGTTGTCATGTTGCAGTTCATAATTTCTGCCGATAATTCTGGCGGATAGATCAACGATAGGACACAAAATCTCGTCAACATATCGCTGGCCAGTCAAATGTAGATTCACAATAGCTAAATGTATTCATCTGTCGTGTGTGATATAGCCCCACACCGTGACGCTACTGCCCCCATACCGATCATGGTCAAGAATTGTTGCCCTGGCACACTGCTCGCCGCTACGTCGCCAAAAGCGTTTTCTACCATCTGTGAATCGGAGGCAAAACCTTGAATTAGGCTTTACCTCCGATTCACGGATGGCAGAAAACATCACGCCTGGGTCATCGCGTGCAAATCTCATTACGCGATGTGTGAAGTGGCCCTAAAATCAGAAGTGGTTATCGCTCATTAACCACCTCAAATTTAGTAAAATTAATAAATCAAATAAGATCATCCTTTAATGACGCTGCTGAATGTGAGTTCCCCTAAAGGAGCACACACACACTTTGGCTTCTACGTGCGTGATCTGATATTTCATTGTGATAATATATGTGTTGTGTTCAGACGCAACGACACCGCATTGTAAATGTACATCTCAACGATAAATGCATAACAGCCAATCATTAGTTCTCATATTTTTTGCCGGTAGTATGAGGTATTTCTGACAGAGACAGTTAGTCACCGCTATGATTCACAGTCGTGTGTGTTTGTATTTATGTGCAGATGGATTGTTCTCCAAACTGTGATATTCATCACAATCAGCGTTCTCGGACTAGCTGGCTCCGCTTCAGTGACAACACAGTTCTTGATGTGGTGCAGGAACCTGCAAACAACGTACCCAAACGCAACCGAGTAAGTAAACACGACGTTTGAATGGAAGCAATCTAGACAAGACAAATAGTGACTCTTTTCCGTCTCTTAACACGGGACCGCCTTCCTTAAAAACTTATTGTGACCCTGTCTGGCGCTCGGCATTTAGGGGCTTAATAGAGGGTGGTCGGCTCTGAGTCAGTATAGTGTCTGAGTGAGATACCTATGGTAAACTGCGGTATCTCAGTGTGACAATAGGCATTAGTCCGGACTAGGACAAGCACACACACACACACACACACACACACACACACACACACACACACACACACACACACACACACACACACACACACACACACACACTGGCGTATAGCAACTCCAGACCCTCTCTTAATATGGCTACGTCAGCATGGCATATAGCAACTCAAGTCCCTCTCTTAACATGGCTCCGTCAGCATGGCATATAGCAACTCAAGTCCCTCTCTTAACATGGCTCCGTCAGCATGGCGTATAGCAACTCAAGTCCCTCTCTTAATATGGCTCCGTCAACATGGTGTATAGCAACTCACGTCCCTCTCTTAACATGGCTCCGTCAGGATGGCATATAGCAACTCAAGTCCCTCTCTTAATATGGCTCCGTCAGCATGGCATATAGCAACTCAAGTCCCTCTCTTAACATGGCTCCGTCAGCATGGCATATAGCAACTCAAGTCCCTCTCTTAACATGGCTCCGTCAGCATGGCGTATAGCAACTCAAGTCCTTCTCTTAACATGGCTCCGTCAGCATGGCATATAGCAACTCAAGTCCCTCTCTTAACATGGCTCCGTCAGCATGGCATATAGCAACTCAAGTCCCTCTCTTAGTATGGCTCCGTCAGCATGGCATATTGCAACTCAAGTCCCTCTCTTTACATGGCTCCGTCAACATGGTGTATAGCAACTCAAGTCCCTCTCTTAATATGGCTCCGTCAACATGGTGTATAGCAACTCAAGTCCCTCTCTTAATATGGCTCCGTCAGCATGGCACATAGCAACTCAAGTCCCTCTCTTAACATGGCTCCGTCAGGATGGCATATAGCAACTCAAGTCCCTCTCTTAATATGGCTCCGTCAGCATGGCGTATAGCAACTCAAGTCCCTCTCTTAACATGGCTCCGTCAGGATGGCATATAGCAACTCAAGTCCCTCTCTTAACATGGCTCCGTCAGCATGGCATATAGCAACTCAAGTCCCTCTCTTAATATGGCTCCGTCAGCATGGCATATTGCAACTCAAGTCCCTCTCTTAACATGGCTCCGTCAACATGGTGTATAGCAACTCAAGTCCCTCTCTTAATATGGCATCGTCAGCATGGCACATAGCAACTCACGTCCCTCTCTTAACATGGCTCCGTCAGGATGGCATATAGCAACTCAAGTCCCTCTCTTAATATGGCTCCGTCAGCATGGCATATAGCAACTCAAGTCCCTCTCTTAATATGGCTCCGTCAGGATGGCATATAGCAACTCAAGTCCCTCTCTTAATATGGCTACGTCAACATTGTGTATAGCAACTCAAGTCCCTCTCTTAATATGGCTCCGTCATCATGGCACATAGCAACTCACGTCCCTCTCTTAACATGGCTCCGTCAGGATGGCATATAGCAACTCAAGTCCCTCTCTTAATATGCCTCCGTCAGCATGGCATATAGCAACTCAAGTCCCTCTCTTAACATGGCTCCGTCAGCATGGCATATAGCAACTCAAGTCCCTCTCTTAATATGGCTCCGTCAGCATGGCGTATAGCAACTCAAGTCCTTCTCTTAACATGGCTCCGTCAGCATGGCATATAGCAACTCAAGTCCCTCTCTTAACATGGCTCCGTCAGTATGGCATATAGCAACTCAAGTCCCTCTCTTAATATGGCTCCGTCAGCATGGCATATTGCAACTCAAGTCCCTCTCTTAATATGGCTCCGTCAACATGGTGTATAGCAACTCAAGTCCCTCTCTTAATATGGCTCCGTCAGCATGGCACATAGCAACTCAAGTCCCTCTCTTAACATGGCTCCGTCAGGATGGCATATAGCAACTCAAGTCCCTCTCTTCATATGGCTCCGTCAGCATGGCGTATAGCAACTCAAGTCCCTCTCTTAACATGGCTCCGTCAGCATGGCATATAGCAACTCAAGTCCCTCTCTTAACATGGCTCCGTCAGCATGGTGTATAGCAACTCAAGTCCCTCTCTTAACATGGCTCCGTCAGGATGGCATATAGCAACTCAAGTCCCTCTCTTAATATGGCTCCGTCAGCATGGCATATAGCAACTCAAGTCCCTCTCTTAATATGGCTCTGTCAGGATGGCATATAGCAACTCAAGTCCCTCTCTTAACATGGCTCCGTCAGGATGGCATATAGCAACTCAAGTCCCTCTCTTAATATGGCTCCGTCAGCATGGCATATAGCAACTCAAGTCCCTCTCTTAATATGGCTCTGTAAGGATGGCATATAGCAACTCAAGTCCCTCTCTTAATATGGCTCCGTCAACATGGTGTATAGCAACTCAAGTCCCTCTCTTAATATGGCTCCGTCAGCATGGCACATAGCAACTCACGTCCCTCTCTTAATATGGCTCCGTCAGGATGGCATATAGCAACTCAAGTCCCTCTCTTAATATGGCTCCGTCAGCATGGCATATAGCAACTCAAGTCCCTCTCTTAACATGGCTCCGTCAGCATGGCATATAGCAACTCAAGTCCCTCTCTTAACATGGCTCCGTCAGCATGGCATATAGCAACTCAAGTCCCTCTCTTAATATGGCTCCGTCAGGATGGCATATAGCAACTCAAGTCCCTCTCTTAATATGACTACGTCAACATTGTGTATAGCAACTCAAGTCCCTCTCTTAATATGGCTCCGTCATCATGGCACATAGCAACTCACGTCCCTCTCTTAACATGGCTCCGTCAGGATGGCATATAGCAACTCAAGTCCCTCTCTTAATATGCCTCCGTCAGCATGGCATATAGCAACTCAAGTCCCTCTCTTAACATGGCTCCGTCAGCATGGCATATAGCAACTCAAGTCCCTCTCTTAATATGGCTCCGTCAGCATGGCGTATAGCAACTCAAGTCCTTCTCTTAACATGGCTCCGTCAGCATGGCATATAGCAACTCAAGTCCCTCTCTTAACATGGCTCCGTCAGTATGGCATATAGCAACTCAAGTCCCTCTCTTAATATGGCTCCGCCAGGATGGCATATAGCAACTCAAGTCCCTCTCTTAATATGGCTCCGTCAGCATGGTGTATAGCAACTCAAGTCCCTCTCTTAATATGGCTCCGTCAGCATGGCACATAGCAACTCAAGTCCCTCTCTTAACATGGCTCCGTCAGCATGGCATATAGCAACTCAAGTCCCTCTCTTAACATGGCTCCGTCAGCATGGTGTATAGCAACTCAAGTCCCTCTCTTAATATGGCTCCGTCAGCATGGCACATAGCAACTCACGTCCCTCTCTTAACATGGCTCCGTCAGGATGGCATATAGCAACTCAAGTCCCTCTCTTAATATGGCTCCGTCAGCATGGCATATAGCAACTCAAGTCCCTCTCTTAATATGGCTCCGTCAGGATGGCATATAGCAACTCAAGTCCCTCTCTTAATATGGCTCCGTCAACATGGTGTATAGCAACTCAAGTCCCTCTCTTAATATGGCTCCGTCAGCATGGCACATAGCAACTCACGTCCCTCTCTTAATATGGCTCCGTCAGGATGGCATATAGCAACTCAAGTCCCTCTCTTAATATGGCTCCGTCAGCATGGCATATAGCAACTCAAGTCCCTCTCTTAACATGGCTCCGTCAGCATGGCATATAGCAACTCAAGTCCCTCTCTTAATATGGCTCCGTCAGCATGGCATATAGCAACTCAAGTCCCTCTCTTAATATGGCTCCGCCAGGATGGCATATAGCAACTCAAGTCCCTCTCTTAATATGGCTACGTCAACATTGTGTATAGCAACTCAAGTCCCTCTCTTAATATGGCTCCGTCATCATGGCACATAGCAACTCACGTCCCTCTCTTAACATGGCTCCGTCAGGATGGCATATAGCAACTCAAGTCCCTCTCTTAATATGCCTCCGTCAGCATGGCATATAGCAACTCAAGTCCCTCTCTTAACATGGCTCCGTCAGCATGGCATATAGCAACTCAAGTCCCTCTCTTAATATGGCTCCGTCAGCATGGCGTATAGCAACTCAAGTCCTTCTCTTAACATGGCTCCGTCAGCATGGCATATAGCAACTCAAGTCCCTCTCTTAACATGGCTCCGTCAGTATGGCATATAGCAACTCAAGTCCCTCTCTTAATATGGCTCCGTCAGCATGGCATATTGCAACTCAAGTCCCTCTCTTAATATGGCTCCGTCAACATGGTGTATAGCAACTCAAGTCCCTCTCTTAATATGGCTCCGTCAGCATGGCACATAGCAACTCAAGTCCCTCTCTTAACATGGCTCCGTCAGGATGGCATATAGCAACTCAAGTCCCTCTCTTCATATGGCTCCGTCAGCATGGCGTATAGCAACTCAAGTCCCTCTCTTAACATGGCTCCGTCAGCATGGCATATAGCAACTCAAGTCCCTCTCTTAACATGGCTCCGTCAGCATGGTGTATAGCAACTCAAGTCCCTCTCTTAATATGGCTCCGTCAGCATGGCACATAGCAACTCACGTCCCTCTCTTAACATGGCTCCGTCAGGATGGCATATAGCAACTCAAGTCCCTCTCTTAATATGGCTCCGTCAGCATGGCATATAGCAACTCAAGTCCCTCTCTTAATATGGCTCCGTCAGGATGGCATATAGCAACTCAAGTCCCTCTCTTAATATGGCTCCGTCAACATGGTGTATAGCAACTCAAGTCCCTCTCTTAATATGGCTCCGTCAGCATGGCACATAGCAACTCACGTCCCTCTCTTAATATGGCTCCGTCAGGATGGCATATAGCAACTCAAGTCCCTCTCTTAATATGGCTCCGTCAGCATGGCATATAGCAACTCAAGTCCCTCTCTTAACATGGCTCCGTCAGCATGGCATATAGCAACTCAAGTCCCTCTCTTAATATGGCTCCGTCAGCATGGCATATTGCAACTCAAGTCCCTCTCTTAATATGGCTCCGTCAACATGGCACATAGCAACTCACGTCCCTCTCTTAACATGGCTCCGTCAGGATGGCATATAGCAACTCAAGTCCCTCTCTTAATATGGCTCCGTCAGCATGGCGCATAGCAACTCAAGTCCCTCTCTTAACATGGCTCCGTCAACATGGCATATAGCAACTCAAGTCCCTCTCTTAATATGGCTCCGTCAGCATGGCATATTGCAACTCAAGTCCCTCTCTTAACATGGCTCCGTCAACATGGTGTATAGCAACTCAAGTCCCTCTCTTAATATGGCTCCGTCAGCATGGCACATAGCAACTCACGTCCCTCTCTTAACATGGCTCCGTCAGGATGGCATATAGCAACTCAAGTCCCTCTCTTAACATGGCTCCGTCAGCATGGCATATAGCAACTCAAGTCCCTCTCTTAACATGGCTCCGTCAGCATGGCATATAGCAACTCAAGTCCCTCTCTTGGAAGCCGATTAAGATTAAGTCTGTGAAGATGATGATGAGATGGTGCATTGCCATCAGTTTCAGCAGTTACCTACATTTATAGAATATAGCCTTTGTCTGTGAAACAGTATAACAAGCTGAACATTTATAATCTGCTAAAGTGATCATGTATTGAAGACCATGTCACACGCCTTGCAGCTGTCAAATGGCCGCGGCTTACTTTGAAAAGAGTTTTGGAAAGGACATGCTGAACATGACATTGTACTACAGGACTGATATAATCCAACAGGTCAGTAGGTTTTGGATTTACTTCGCTGGATTTCGTTTTCAAATATCTTGCAAGAAAGCAGCCTCTGTTTAAAGTTGAATATTCAATCAAATGAATACCATTCTCCGACGCATATTTCACATATCTATTTTGGCACTGGTGACCCAGTTGTCTAGGGTGCTGCAAAATTCGCTGTGCAAAGTCGCGTCCAGACATGCCAGAAACCTATGATTGTGGGTTCGAATCCCGGTTCGCCCCGATTATGTTTCTAGGTTTGTCAGCTCCATACCAGTGTTCGCTGGTTCACCAAAGTGGTAAACGCCTAAGACCTGCATCACTTCGGACATTCCTCCCACATTAAGCTGACACGCCGTGTTACAACTGGAATACTGTTTAATGGCCGTTAAAACGTCACCCATATATCTATTGGGTTCATGCAAATTTAAATAAAAACATTATTTCACACCCTCAACAGTATTGTTGATGTTATAGATGATGATGTAATGGCATTGTTGTCACAGACATCATAATTAACATCATGCCAGTACCATTGTTTTTTCCAGTTGAACTTTGAAAATACAAAACTTCTACCCACTCATTCATGTAAGAATCTTTTTCTACTATTATATAGATCAAATGATCTTTGTTAAGAAACCCTTATGTCGTCCGTGGTAAAAAGTAGTTCCCAATCATGTATTTCTGTTTCAGGTTGGTTACATGAAAAAAGTTTGGCTTTGCAAAAGAAATAATTTGTTCCAACAAGCAATATGTAGTCCTATTTGGGTTTGACTACTTGACAGATCATTACTTGTGTGAAATGCCATGTTTCCATACATATTGACAATCAGTATACTTTTAAGGACCCTCTTAAATAATAGAATGACTCTTTGTCCAGATGTTTTAAAAAGCGCACTGAAACAGAGACCCGTCGGAATTGTGAACAAAATAATGTGCTATTACCGAACACTGGCAGAACATTAGTTACCAGTTTCATAGAACATCGTTATATCCTTTATCGTCATCAGTACACGTGTGTGATGTCATGTTTCCAGACTTGCACCTGGACCATCAGTTTCCTGTGCATGGTGCTCGCGTTCATCTACATCAGCCTCCTGTGTGTCTCCAGGGTCGGACACGACAACAACAGAACACGTGTCATCCTTGTCACGAACAACGAAGAGGAACAGCCTCTTATTATATCCGGTGAAGCCACATCCTACACATGAAACCATTCCCCCGACAGTGATCGAATTGGTGCTCATGTTTGTAAGGCAACATCAATTATCCACATGTATATAACCTCCTGCTTGATACATCACTTGATAACGGTGTAAGTATCTACAGTAAACTACGGTCATAACGAACTCAAAAGGACCACTAGTTCTAGTTCGTAATAACCGTAGTTCGTTATAAGCATATACACAGCATACATACAACAAATAACCGGGACTAAAACATGAGTACGTAATATCGGCGAGTTCATTATAAGAGTGTTCGTTATAAACGTAGTTTACTGTACATTGAAACATCGCATTTGTTAACAAAGGAAGGATACGGAACCGCAAAAGAAACGTCACCATGGATAGAAATTTGAGAAACCTTATTTGTCCAAACACTGTAAACATACTTTGAGACATATTAAAAAGATGATACCTTTGCATGTCTTGAGACCACACGCCATACCTCATTTGGCACGTCGCCGCAACCACGAGTTTCAGCATGATAACGTCCGTGCCCACACTGCGAGAGCAACAAGAGACAGAATGGCATCAGAACCATGCAGTGGCCTGCCCTCAGTCCCGATTGAAATCCCATTGAGCACCGGTGGGACGAGATTCAAAGACGGCTGAATGACGTCCGACCAAGGCTGACAACTGCAGCTGAACTGCGTCAGGTGTTCCTCAGAGTGTGGGCTCAAGTGCCTATGGCCTTCATCAACTGCCACATCCATTCCATGTATCGACGTTGCACGATGCATCAATGCACATGGCGGACACACGAGATAAAGACTTGTCATGCCATTTTCTCAGAGACTAGTGTTGTGTTTCACTTTAAGAACATTTGACACTTTAATTTCAACTATGATGATAAGTTTTGCCAAATTTCATCTGTTTAATATGTTTCAAAGTATGTTTACAGTGTTTGGACAAATATGGTTTCTCATATATCTATCCATGGTGACGTTTCTTTTGCGGTTCAGTATGTAATGAATGCGACGTTTCGGTGTAGATACTAAGACCGTTATCAAGTGATTGACAGAAATGTGAAATAGGAAGGTTACATACATGATAACTGATGTTACATGGTAGAATGATGATAGATGGATATGTATACAACAGATAAGGTTGAAGTACGAAGCCTGATTATGGACTGATTGTGATTCATAAACACATGCTCTGATATAGTCGAAATCGTACAATCGACTCTGATTTTAGCAGAGATTTCTGTTGAATATGGAAAGCTTTTTGTAGCTTTTATTTAAAAAAATACCCAATGTTAATTTACAATTAGAGGAACAGTTACTCAACCAATTGCTTTAACGAATTAAACGAATTAAGCGGAGAACATACATATGATGGAGAATGTTCATGTTAACGTTTTACAAATTGCCACCGCGTCAAGAAATTTGATTATCATTATTTGATGTATGGAGAACAAGGCATGATTCCACTTTGAATACAGATTACAAATCAACCTAAGTTCGATGGAAATGTTTATATTGTTATGCTTTTCTACTATTTCATAAAATACATCATGTACTGTTCCAGCATGCCGGTCCACCTTAGAGTCTTTTATTATCTCAATTGGCTGCGTTAAAAACAAGACCAATAGCACGGGAATAAGAACTTAAGGGTTGTTATTATTTACGGATTAAAGATATCTCAACCTTTCCTCGACTTTCGATGTAACCCAAATCAACCTATTTGATTCCTATTTACACCAGCTTTATAGTTATTGATGGCATGGTATTTCTCCGAATTGGGATTAAAAACACCTCCATATGATCTTTATCGATGGTTATAGCAATTAAAGATATCACATTTGTACAGTTTTAGAACAGTTTTTCAGGTGAAACGATGTTGTATATGAAAGCTGAAATCGTTTTCAAAATGCCATATAAAACATGTTGTCGATCACTGATGTAACGGCATCTGTCATGGCCTATATATTTGTATGTTTACGTTTAAACGATTCCATTCTACAATGTGTGATGACAGAATAAAGCATGTGAAATCTATTACGTGTTTATTCCCAAATTAAAACATTATGTAAACCCATAACTCTGAACGTAAAAGAACTTCATGTGAAACCAACCAACAAATAAAAACTTGTATACAATCAGTAAATGTATTACAAAAGTTCACTAGGTTTACAAATCAATACAAATTACTGCACAGCAATTACAATGGCAGTACACAACGGAGTGTGTACAATATTCAGTGGCAATAAATAATATGATGTGAGTGTTCAGTATTCAATACAAAAATACAGTCAGTGATAATAATATATATTCACCCAGCAGCGACAGTGGCCAAGCGTTCGAGATACCCAAGGCAGGGAATCAGGGGTGATGAGAGATTCTCACATGAAAGCTGGTTCGGATGTGATGAAAATGCATAAGAGATACGTAAACACGCTCTTGTCCCCTTATATAAACCTTCCAGCCAGTGGAAAGTTTCACACAGTGCCCTCACCAGTCCATCGACACCAGGACATTAAAGAAGTTTCTATAACATACTATCACCGTCCGCAGTATACCGAACCGGAAGTTAACACACCACACTAGCATCTAAATATAGTAACTTCCTGACGACTGATCACTGTCAAAACACAATGCAATGAGCGTCTACTGAATCCCAAGAGAAACAATGCAACACGCTGTTAAACAATAAAATACACTGCCACATGACGAATCATTTCTAGCTGGAGTGTTTTTACCCCACACACAATATCCTACATGGACATTTTCCCACACACATTTCCCCACACGGACAATACTCACTATGGACATTTCTAAGAGGGACATTTCCCAATATGGACATTTCCCCACACGGACATTTCCCCACAAGGACATTTCCCCACACGGACATTTCCCCACACGGTTATTACCCACTATGGACATTTCCCCACACGGACATTACCCACTGTGGACATTTCCCCACTGTGGAAATTTCCCCACACGGACATTTCCCCACACGGACATTTCCCCACACGGACATTACCCCACACGGACATTACCCCACACGGACATTTCCCCACACGGACATTACCCACTGTGGACATTTCCCCACACGGACATTACCCACTGTGGACATTTCCCCACACAGACATTACCCACTATGGACATTACCCACACGGACATTACCCACTGTGGACATTTCCCAACACGGAAATTTCCCCACACGGACATTACCCACTATGGACATTACCCACACGGACATTACCCACTGTGGACATTTCCCAACACGGAAATTTCCCCACACGGACATTACCCACTATGGACATGTCTAACACGGACATTTCCCACATGAACATTTCCCCACACGGACATTACCCCACATGGACATTACCCAGAATGGGCATGTCTAACACGGACATTTCCCCACACGGACATTACCCACTATGGACATTTCCCCACACGGACATTACCCACTATGGACATTTCCCCACACGGACATTTCCCAACACGGACATTTCCCCACACGGACATTTCCCACAATGGACATTTACCCACAAGGACATTACCCACTACGGACATTTCCCCACACGGACATTTCCCCATACGGACATTTCCCCACACGGACATTACCCACTATGGACATTTCCCCACACGGACATTTCCCCACACGGACATTTCCCCATACGGACATTTCCCCACACGGACATAACCCACTATGGACATTTCCCAACACGGACATTTCCCCACAAGGATATTTCCCCGCACGGACATTTCCCCATACGGACATTTCCCCACACGGACATTACCCACAATGGACATTTCCCCACACGGACTTTTCCCCACAAGGACATTAACCACCATGGACATTTCCCATACGGATATTTCCCCACACGGACATTTCCCCACATGGACATTTCCCGACACATACAATACCCAACACAGACATTTCCCCACACGGACATTTCCCCACATGGACATTTCCCCATACGGACATTTCCCAACACAGACATTTCCCCACACGGACGTTTCCCCACAGGGACATTAACCACCATGGACATTACCCACTATGGGCATGTCTAACACAGACATTTCCCCACACGGACATTTCCCCCGACAAACATTACCCAACACAGACATTTCCCCACACGGACATTTCCCCACATGGACATTTCCCCACACGAACATTACCCACTATGGGCATGTCTAACACGGACATTTCCCAACATGGACATTACCCACAATGGACATTTCCCCACACGGACATTTCCCCACACGGACATTACCCACTATGGGCATGTCTAACACGGACATTACCCACTATGGGCATGTCTAACACGGACATTACCCACTGTGGACATTTCCCAACATGGACATTACCCACAATGGACAGTTCCCCACTATGGACATTTCCCCACTATGGACATTACCCACTATGGGCATGTCTAACACGGACATTTCCCCACATGGACATTTCCTCACATGGACATTTCCCACACGGACATTACCCACTATGGACATTTCCCACTATGGACATGTCTAACACGGACATTACCCACTGTGGACATTTCCCCACGCGGACATTACCCACTATGGGCATGTCTTACACGGACATTTCCCCACATGGACATTTCCTCACACGGACATTACCCACACGGACATTTCCCCACATTGACATTTCCCCACACGGACATTACCCACTATGGACATTTCCCACTATGGACATGTCTAACACGGACATTACCCACTGTAGACATTTCCCCACACGGACATTACCAACTATGGACATTTCCTCACACGGACATTACCCACTATGGACATTTCCTCACACGGACATTACCCACTATGGACATTTCCCCACATGGACATTTCCTCACGCGGACATTACCCACTGTGGACATTTCCCCACACGGACATTTTCCCACACGGCCATTTCCCCTCACGGACATTACCCACTATGGGCATTTCCCCACACGGACATTACTCACTATGGACATTTCCCCACACGGACATTTCCCCACACGGACATTTCCCCACACGGACATTTCCCCACATGGACATTTCCCCACACATACAATACCCAACACAGACATTTCCCCACACGGACATTTCCCCACATGGACATTTCCCCATACGGACATTTCCCAACACAGACATTTCCCAACACGGACATTTCCCAACATGGACATTAACAACCATGGACATTTCCCCACACGGTTATTACCCACTATGGACATTTCCCCACACGGACATTACCCACTGTGGACATTTCCCCACTGTGGAAATTTCCCCACACGGACATTTCCCCACACGGACATTTCCCCACACGGACATTACCCCACACGGACATTACCCCACACGGACATTTCCCCACACGGACATTACCCACTGTGGACATTTCCCCACACGGACATTACCCACTGTGGACATTTCCCC